AAAAAAAAAAACTTATTATTCAGTGTTTCTCAACAATACTAGTAACAAAGGATGTTAGGATGTAGTATAAGAATAAAAGGGCTAGAATCTCAAATATATTTTTCTTAGAATTTTTCAGTTTCAATAGTTTTTTTTATTTGCTTTCAATATATAAATATTAAATGTGATTTTCAAAAAAAGAAAAAACAAAATTTTAATATGTAACATTTTTATCATTTATGGAGATCTGAGGACTATACCATTTCTCATAACTTCAGGTGTAGGGAAATGCTACATTAGGGTTAGAAAAAACTTTTGACTTCCAATGTTTCATGGTATTTGGCTATAGCAAGAAAGGCAGTGTGTGTAGTAGAAAGAACATTAGACTTAACTGGAGGACTAGGTTCAAATCCAACTCCATCACCAATGAGAGAATAAATCTTAGCACCTTCTTTGTTTTCCAGTTCTTCTGTGTAATAAAAATGTCTCATGGGCCCATTTAACAATTAAGTAACATAAGTGAAAACATAATGCATTGTAAAAATACAAGGTTTCAGAACAGTTTATACCTCTTTAAAAAGGGAAAAATGATAAATATGGCCCAATTCCTTTTTTTGTACTTATATGTACAAAGTAATAGTGTACACCTGACTTTAATTCATATATGTACATATATATATAACTGACAGATATATGGTTATCAAATTTGAATTGGTTATCATATATATATATTACTGATAGTACATTACACAGTTACTTATTTCTTTGTTGTTTATTCTACATAGTACTTCTACAACTACACCTTAGTTCACCATTCTATCCTTCCAACAGTGCATGGCAGAGGAGGTAATTCAATAAATGTGGTCTATCAACAAATGGAGACGATGCAATAAAATCAAGTTTAAAATCCCAAACATATTTATGTAAGACAAATTAGAGGACTCAAATCAACTGTTATATTGACTCTAGTGCACCACATCCTTTTAAAAACAGTCGACTTGACATATATGGCATATATGAAAGAGGTGAGAGGCTCCTAAAATCCTAGGTTAACACAAACCATACCACCCAAATATACTATCCAACAATGGGTAAATACTCACCTGTTACACCGGTTTTAGGATAAAGGAACTGGAAAAATTCCTCAGGGATCAGTCCCAAACGAACTTTCCCTCCATATTCAGGAAGAGGTGGTACAGGTGCAAGACTTGGCTGCCCCGTGTGAAAGATTCTCGTTGCTTGCAATGCCCTATAGGTAGCAATTTCACAAATTTAAAGCCTACTCTTTAAAGAGAAAACAACATATGAACAATCAACAGAAACAACTACCTGGGATGAAGACTAAGATGATTTCTGATGGAAAGGGTGCAGACTAGGAATAGGAAGGTTAGGGTCCAATAATTACGTGTGTGACAAGAACAAATGAGTTACACAGAACTGTACGTAACCTTCTACCCAATACTGCAACCCCTTCTAAAAGTCTCATAGGTCATCTGTCTAGCACTCTGCATGTCTATTATCAGCACAGAAATATTTAAGAACACACAGACTCCGCAATCTGGGTTCAAATCCCAGTCTTGCCACTTTAAGTAACTCAAGCTTTTGTAATCTCAGATATCTCTAAATGAAGTGGGAATAAAGGTTATTATTTATAGGTCCATGTGTATTACTTAATATATGCAAAAAATTGGGAAGGGTGCTTGGCAGGATAAAGTCCTATGTAAACGGTCAGTATAACATGTCCAGTATGTTACGTGCACCTTGATGGTAAGAACTTTGACCTTTTTGAATATTCTCTGTGATGCGGGCTAAAGTTGCAATGTGAAACTGGCCTTTTCAGGATTTACTAGCTCTAATGTTCATCTTTGAACCGAAATGCTACTATGTACATCCTCAAAACCTCTAGCAATTGGTTCTAATTTTATTTTAATTTTCTATATAACATTCGCGTATCTGGGTTAAATATCTCCAGTTGATGCACAGTCCTGACTGTCCACCACAAGAAGCTTTCTGTTTTTGCTACCAAAAACGAGGTTTTTAGAAGCCAATGCTCTAAATATAGGGACAAACTTATTCTGTCTACAACTATGTATTGAGAACCTGCTATTACCATTATTAGGCTTAAACTATTACGCTATTACTGTGGATTTGTTAACCATTCTTGTATTAAAGTAGCATTTTTAGCTGTAGAAGGCTGTTCTGTGTCCTGAGAAAAATCAGCAGTATCCCTATGATGATCTTTATACACCAAATGCTAGCAACATCCCCCCTCCCATCAGTGGTGACAGCCAAAAACATCTTTAGACTTGCTAAGTGGTCCCTAGAGGACAAACTGTCCCAGGTTGAAACCGCTGATTTAATTTACAGCATTAGAGAAGCTGCTTTACACACACACAAATTCTCTCCCCCTTTGGTTGTCTCAGTTCAAGTCCTTATCCTTTCTTGCCTCAACTAGTTAATAATCCAAAACTTGTCCCTGCTTTTCCTCAAAAACTACTTAAACCCAGACACCTCCACACTGGCCAAAATGCAAGTTTCATTTTAACACTCTTCAAGAGGCTCTCTTCTGTCCACAGAACACAAACTAGTAAATACGGCATACATGATCCAGCACCTGTCACATTTGATAACCATATCTTCCTTCATTCTCCTTCCTCCAACCATATGAAACTACTTACAGTTCTCAAAAACAAACAAAAACCAAAAACATGCCTCATGCTGCTCCTTCTGCCTTCTCCTTTCATTTAATGACTGTCAAGCCCAATAGCCTACAGAACTTCTCATGCACAACCTTATTTATAAAGGCCTCTCCAATCTTGGGGTAACATTTATTCAAAACACTTGCTTTCTACGTAAGTCAGACACGGGAAGCTGAGCAATGAGCAGACAACGTCCCAGCCTTCAATATAATGGGGGTGTGGGAAGTGTGGGCATATTCTAGCCATACATCATTTCAGACAACTACATGATGAAGAAAAATGGAGCAAGTAAGGGGATGGGGAGCAAAGGATTTGCGGGTGGGCTTATTTGGTAGAAGGTCAAGTAAATTGGAGCCCATCAGCTGCAGAGAGAAAAGGGCAAGTCAGAGACCCCAGCAACAAGCGTGGCGGCTTCCAGAAGCAGCAATTAGACCAGGTCAGCTGGAGAATGAGCTAAAAAAGGGACAGAAGACAAGTCAAGAGAGAGGATGTGATCAACTTATGTTGGGTTTTCTGGGTTATGGTTAAGTTTGTATTTTAATTCAAGTAGGATGGGGGACTCAGAAGGGTTTTAGGGGACTCTGGCTTCTGTGAGAATGGGCTATAACAGGAAAAGAACAGAGAATCAAGGAAATTTGTTAACACACTATTAAAATAGGTGAAAATTGGTGGTGGGTCACACTCCAGTAGTAAGTGGAAGAAGTGGTCAGAATCCAAATATAATGTGAAGGGAGAGCATTGTTACATTAGGCATCGAATGTGGGGGGGGGATTAAGGATGTTCCTTGAACCTTGTATGTAGTTATTGTACTTATTGACTGAATTAAGATGATTTGTTTTCATATCTGTATGGAATTTTCTTTTTCTTGTAAATCACAAACAGCCAATTACAGCCTCACTTTATTGCGTGCACAAAAATTAATGACAGGTTAAATTCACTTTCTCAAAACAGAGATTAGTAATCAAATTTTGCCAAATTTAGGCCTAAGGATAGAAATAAAAAGGAGTACTCCCAAAGAAAATGGACATGCTTTATAACAGGTACTAACATTTACTATGTATCAAGCACTGCATTTAGAGAATTAAGCCTGTACTTTTCATAACCCACAACGGGACTATTAATTTCCATTTTGCAGATGAGGAAACTGAGGTGACACAGCTTGTAAGCAGATCCGGCCAGGTGTGCCCTGCTCTTAACTTTGGAGCCTCACTCTAAACCACTACTTTATAGGTTCCTCCTCCTGTTTGAGCTACATGAAGGCAGCTACTAGCTCTATTCAATTCCGTACCTTTGGTTATGTGGGAGAGACATGACAAACATTTACTGAATCAAATGAGTTCTCTGACTCTAATAATCTGGCAGCGAAAGTTACAATCTGTGAGACAGACAGAAAAAAAAAAAACAAAAAACATGCTTCACTGTGTTATTAACAAAACTTGTCGGGTGTGCAATCTAGTAACTCAGATTAAGGCAGTGGCAGCTGTGCTTAGCTGAAGGTCACCCAGGAGAGAGGAAGGGCTTAAAAGACACAAAACCTGTCCCTAGTTTAGTCAGAACACATCACTTACCCTCTTAATTTTCTCACTGGGGGACACGACGAGGTTGCAGGTAGGTAGTTACAGGAGCACAAGAGTTTGAAATGAGATTTCAAGCGTCCCAAATTACTTAAAGAAAGGTCACTGCTGACCTAAAGCTAAGCGGAGGTTACCGAGCAGTGAAGGAAAGCGATAAAACCAGGACTGGGGGAGTACAGCACCCCTCACACTTACCCCGGGGCGAGAAGGGCTGCGTTCTTCAGCGAGGGGGCTGCAAACGTACAGAAGGCGCCGGTCAGCAAGGTCAAGGTGAAATGAGCTGGCCCTTCCACGGCCCCCGCGGCGTCTGCGCCCTGGGACGCTGCACCCGCAGGGTCTGCCCGCGAGGACCCTGCACTCGCGCCCCCGAGCCCGCGCCCACTTTCCGGGCGGCGCTGCCCCCCCCTCCCCCGCTCGGGCCCCCGGCTCCCGGCGCCTGTCTCCTGCCCCTCCCCCGCCCTCTCCCCGCAGCCCTAGACGCGCGTTTTCATATTCACTCCGACTGCCCTGGCCAGAATCTCCACCTCTTACCCGCTGCGGCGGCGGCGGCAAGTACTACCCGGGACAGCATGGTCAGCGGCGGTCCAGGGGAGTCTTCGCGTCCCGGTGACCCCAACAAGAGACTCTGCCAGGGGCAGGACCAAGATGGTCGCTCTCAAGTCTCGCGAGAAGAGAACGGGGCGCCCTCTGGCCACCAACTTGGGTTCGGGTTTTTTACTGTTCTCGCGAGAAGAGGCGCGGCGCCCCGAGCACCCACTGCCTGAGGGCAGCGGCGGGGCCGGCAGCCGCGGTCTCGCGAGATGTAGCGTGTCCAGCCTCTCGAGAGGGGCGGAGGCCGAGAGGGAACCACGTGGGCTTGGCTGCGCGGCCTGGGTCGCGGCGTCCAGTTTGGGTCTGGATCGGACTCGGAACCGTGGAGATGCGGAAAGAAACCCCAGCTCCCCTAGTGCCGCCGGCGGCCCGGGAGTGGAACCTGCCCCCGAACGCGCCCGCCTGTATGGAGCGACAGTTGGAGGCTGCGCGGTACCGGTCGGGTGAGCTGAGACCCGGCCCGGGGAGCCCCTCATCCCGGCCCGGGGCGCCCCTCCCCGCCCGGCCCCCACCCCCTGCCAGCCCGCCCCCGCCTCGCGCTCGGAGCTCGGTCCCCAGCCCCGCCCGCTGTTCCTGAGCTCGGCTCCGGACCCGGCCCGCGTGCTGCGCCCTGCGGTCGCCATGGAGACGAGCCCTGCCGCCTCTCGTGCTGACAGCTTGTACCTCCCTTAGATGGGGCGCTCCTGCTCGGGGCCTCCAGCCTGAGTGGCCGCTGCTGGGCTGGCTCCCTTTGGCTTTTCAAGGACCCTTGTGCTGCCCCCAACGAAGGTTTCTGCTCGGCTGGAGTGCAGACGGAGGCCGGCGTGGCGGACCTCGCCTGGGTGGGGGACAAAGGTATCCTAGTGGCTTCCGATTCAGGTGAGTGGAATGGAGGCCAGGGGACAGGTCGGGCCACATTCAATCTTTGGTGTCCCTTCCATACTCAGTGCTTGGGGGAGCTCGAGGGTGTTACCCCACATGAGAACTCCTGTGCAGGTGGGAAGTACCTTTTCTTTGGATTCTGTATTGCCCTGGCGGGAATTTCTGGCAAAATTCATGACAAAACTGAAAAGTGGATTGGAACCACTTTCTTCTGTGTATCCCCCAACTAGGCCGAAGATAATCTTGATCTTAAAGATGATGCTGAAGCCTCCCTGTGCTACCTGTCTCTTTCCATTTCTTTTCATCTTAAATGTTTTTATTCTGCTTTCTTTTGTTTTGAACATCAGGTTCAGCAATGGTTTCAGCTTTAGCCTAAAAAAAAATCAGAATTTGGGCATTGAAGGTATTGCATGCAAGGATACAAGTGGCATTGAAGATTAAGTTGAGTTTGAAACACTACACATTCAACACAACTTTTTGAGGGTTTCTGTACTTAGGCAGTCATTGTGCAAGTAGTTTACTCAGAATATTAAAAAAAAAACTTTGTGACTTTTTTTTCAATTCTATAAATAATTGGCAGTGTTTAACCACACTAGATTCTTACACATGCAGTTATGGAAATGTCATTCTTTTCTCCTAGGGACTTATTTTCCACGGTTTTCTTACTAGAAGTGGGATAATAGGTTTTACAAGCTGTTCCATCTTGCTGCTGTCTTTGTCTTGCTTTCCTCATCTAATTGTAATGCCAGCATAAAGCCAATGACCTGGGAGTTAAATCAACCCTCTAATGTCATGCACTTGTTTTTATAGAAATACCTGTAAGAGCAACTTTGCTACTGCTACTTTAGTCACAGTGTGACAAGGGACAACTTGAATCCTCAAAGTGAGTTACTATCTTGATATAATCCAAGTGCATTTCCCTTACACTCCATTCTACCCCAACAGGTGCTGTTGAATTGTGGGAGCTGGATGAAAATGAGACCCTCATTGTGAGCAAGTTCTGCAAGTATGAGCATGATGACATCGTGTCTACAGTCAGTGCCCTGAGCTCCGGCACGCAAGCTGTCAGCGGTAGCAAAGACTTCTGGTGGGTCCCTGTTCTCGTCTCTCCTGTCTCTGAGTCTCCTTTTCGTGTCTTTACTGTTCTCAGCCTCATTAACTAAGGTTTTAGGCTCATTATAAGAACCAGTTCCTGATTACAATATGCTTCTAAGATTTCCTCGAGATTTTGCAATCTCCTATGGAAATAGATTATAGTAGAAGCCCAGTGGGCAGAGGCATAGAACATGCTGTTTAAAGAAAGTTCTTGTTTGAACACGTTTTTTTTTGTGTGGATGGTATACATCAAAATTAAGTATTTGTTTCCCTTTGCTTTTTTAGCATCAAAGTTTGGGACCTTGCTCAGCAGATGGTACTGAATTCATACCGGGGTGAGTGCTTGCATTTTCCTTTTCAGTCCTGGCCTTAATGGTTATTATTATTATTATTTTTTAAAGATTTATTTAATTATTTATGTAAGCACTGGGTACAGTCAGAAGCATGGGAGGGTGAGAGCATTCACCAGAGCCAGAGCGGGGAACAGAACAGGCAGACTGGTGAAATACACTGCTGAGGGGAGCAGTGGGCGGCAGGAGAGGTCTGCGTGCCATGTGGGACCGAACCAGTGCTGCAAAAGCTTCAGGCAGCTTCGCAGCCCAGCGCTCAACCGTTGCGCCACCAGGGGAGGCCCAATGGTTTTATTTTTATTCTTGTCTTTGGGCCGAAGTTTGCTTACTAGGAGCGACAGTTTGCTCTCCTGCCTAGTAGTAGGCTCCAGTGTCTATCCTTTGCCATTTTCTTCATGCTCCTGTTTCTCTGCGATGACTTAGCCCCTTCTTGGCCACACAGGACTCAACTCTCAGTTCTCTTCCACTCCCCCTGCTTCCCCATTACTGATTGGTCACTAAGTTCTTATCATCTTTCCCCATTTGTTCAGTGACCTTCCTTTCCAGTTCTCATGCTCCCTTTTAGTTTCAAGCTTCACCTTACACTTACAGAGCACACATCTCATCTTTCCACCTAGAGCCTTTGTTCTTAACTTAGTTTTTGTGACTGGCAGATTGAAATGTCATTTTCTTGTCTTGGCATTCAGATCCTTTTACTGTCACTCCCTCTTCAAACATGCCATGCTAGCTAAACCCAGTCAAGTCTTATCTTTGGTATTCTGTAAGTGTAAACCCTGAAACTTGGGAATCTTAAACTTTTGAATGTTCACCTCCATAAAATTTTTGCTTTTTTTGTCAGGAACCATGACCTTCTATTAATGTGCATTTTTCTGCTCCCATTAACAGTGCTAGCAGGGGATTTTATCTTGGGAGCCTCTTCATGAAGGTAGCATATTTCCACAAAGATAATGTACAGAACATTGATGTGTGCGTGGCTAAGAGGTGCAAATGCTGGGTGATCACCTGGTTCACTCACTGACAAAGCATCTTTCTGCCAAATCCAGCTTCAGAGCACATGGTTCAGATATATGCCAAAGCAGAATCACAAATACATACACACCCTGGGCCTTCAGGGTCCCTGGCAAATAGGCAATGATGTTAAGGTGCCACTGCCCGAGAACTACTATACTTGCCTGTTTTTCTTAGACATATGATGTTTTCCTGGCCAATGCTAATTCTTTTTCAGCACTTTGTCTTTTCAGCCTTTTTTGTTAGTTCTTTGTGTTTATCTTACTCCAATCTACTCCCCACTTGCTCCCTGAATGCCAACTCCTTTGAGGACAGAGGAACCATGTATCATTCATCTTTTGTATGCCGCCATGGTGCTATCACAGAGCTTTGCCTTTTTCAAGTGAGCAATAAATTCCTTTTCATTGTGTTGGCTTTGCACAGATACTAAAGCTCTGAGGGAACTGTGAAAGGTGGTTAAACCCGTCTTCTTTCTCAGCACAGAGCTTCATTCTCTGCCTCAGAAGTCTGGAATGACTTTAGAGAAAGTGATTCCCCAGCTTATAATGGACCAGTAGTGGTGGTCTTCAAAAGTTTTAGCATGTAGACCTCGTAAAAGAATGTTAAAAACTACCCTTTCACCCATTTTTAAATTGATACCTAATTTAAGTGTAAATAGTTGCAGAGGGCCTCCTTGGTGGTGCAAGGGGTTGAACACCGCACTGTGAAGCAATCCGCAGCCTCTGCAGCATGAGTTCAATCCCCGGCAAGCCAGCAAGCTACCCACATGGCGAGGCAGACCCCTCCTGTCTCACCCGCTGCTCCCCCCAGCAGTGTTTTTCAGTCAGTCTGCTTGTTCTGCTTCCCCTCTGTCTCTGGTGAATCCTCTCACCCGCTGCACCTCTGGCCTGTGCCCCAGCTTTTGTATGCATAAATAAATAAATCTTAAAAGAAAAAATAGTTGCAAAGAAGGTAATTTCTGGCCATATCACTTAATGTACACTTGTTTCCCTCATATTTTTCAAAATTTTGTATTTGCAGACTAAGCCCATAGAATTTATGCAAAATGTCATATTTTTCAAAATTCTCATGTTAGAAACAGCTAAGTCTTAGAACCACACCCGTGTTTATGGTGTGGCTGAAATGGGGCCAGCCCCCTTGCTGGATTTTACCCAGATTCGCTTTCTTTGCTCTTTGGCTTTTTTTTTTTTTTTTTTTTTTAAATAATAAATTTTATGCTCTTTGGTTTTAAAGGAGAGCACCTTCTGTTTTATAGTTTGGGTTTTTATACTTCTGTGCTTTGTGCCATGGTAAGACTTGGAATGGGTGAGAGGTATGTGTTCCTTCTGAAAAGTGGCAGAAGGATGATAACGAAGGAAAAGGTAGAAAGGAACATTAGCAGACTATAGGCAGCTGCCGAGTCCAATTTTGGGAAAGAAAGCTGGAATCCTTGATTCCCTTAAAAGTCTCAGTGTCCAGAAATCTCTTAAAAAATTTTTCATGCTCCCTGGAGGTGGGTGTGTTACAGACGGAAACTCTCCCAGGATGTCTTCACTCTGAAATTCCTTTGCTGTTCTCACTCGTCCCCAACTTCTTTTTCGTTGTCTTCACTAATTCATTGAATTCCCAAGTCTTCTAGGTTTTATAAATTCATCAAACTCTCTCCTTGGGTTTTGTCTAATGTAAAACCTCTCATGAAATTTCCTAAGTTGTATCTTGAGACCAGCCTGTTCCTCACACCTTCCTCCTGCCCCTTGGTGGAAACGCTCTCAGCTTCGTAGTCACGTTCCTCTCTCTCCTTTACAGCTCACTCTGGGCCCGTCACCTGCATTGCCACCTCCCCTCACAAGGACTCCGTGTTTCTCTCATGCAGTGAGGTGAGTACAGCCTCTTCTCTCCCCACTCCCCGACCGCTCTGAGATCCTCTAAGCCAGTGCCACGGCCAGCAGTTGCTTCGAGTTGTGAAGCGCTTTTCCTGTTTCTTCTTCTAGGACAATAGAATTTTACTCTGGGATACCCGCTGTCCCAAGCCCGCGTCACAGATGGGTGAGTCTGAGAGTCAGTGGTGGGGCCTTTCCTGGAAGAGACTTTCTTGGCCAGAGCCAAAGGCAAAATGCCAGGTTCCCAGTCACTGTCACATACATGACGTAATCTCTTACCCACTGAGGGTTGGGTCTTGGGTGGGTAACTTCCTTTACACTTCCTGATGGGTGGACAGAGAGGCCAGTGTTGCTGTTGTCATACCTTGTGCTTGAAACTCACCCATGTCTAGCATCTAGAGAAGGCTGGACGCTGTTGGGTAAATGTAGGTAAAAGGATGAGACACCCCTCCCTGCCGTAGGGTTTAGAAAACCAAAGAAAGGTGCTCCTGGGATTTAGAGGGACTGCATTTGAAAAGCTGAGCCCTGTTCTCTCCTTTGCAGGCTGCAGTGCCTCTGGCTACCTTCCTACCTCACTGGCTTGGCATCCTCAGCAGAGCGAAGTCTTCGTCTTCGGTGAGGCCGCGTGCCGCACTACATGTTGGCTTTCAGAAGGGGGAGGACAGGAGAGAGCTAACTCCTGACACTCCAGACTAGCTGCACGGCCTCGTCAGCACTCTCAGGCGCTGGATGAACCGTGCTTGTGGTGGGATGGAGAGGCGGCTGGCCCACGTGGCTCTAGTTTTGCTTTGGAGAGAGTGATGACTTTTTCCCCCGGTACATCTGATGCCTGATTGTTTGCTCTGGCGCCTGTATTCTGGGTGTTTCTAGCACTCAGTGGGCCACAAAACAAGTGGAGTGCTCTGCAGTATAGGGACACCTGTTCTTCTGTGGGTGGCTGCGGTGCTGTCATGGTGATGACGTGGGGCTGTACACAGGGTGACGCAGCCTGTGGGTAAAGTGATAACTACTGTATCCATTACTTTTATTTCCCACCTGCCTAATGACTAATTATCCCTACCTTACAAAAGGAGAAACTGATACTCACGGTTGTTAACTTGTCCAAGGTGAAGGACTAGCTTTCAAATTCAGGTCTGGCTGGCCTTAAAGCCCGTTTCCTTAACCAGAGTTTCGTGTGGAAGCCAGCAGCTGCTGCCCTGGGTTGTGAGACCCTTTTCCTGTTCCCTTCCTTCTCTAGGCGACGAGAATGGGACTGTCTCCCTTGTGGACACCAAGAGTACGAGCTGCGCCCTCAGCTCTGCTGTGCACTCCCAGTGTGTCACTGGGCTGGTGTTCTCCCCACACAGGTACCCTTCTTTGCTATCAAGTGCCTGCTGGGTGGGGTGGGGACAGTGCAGGGTGCTGCTCTTGGCAGGGCATCCGCTGCTTAGATCATTCCTTCCAGCGGACACTGCTCCAGCTGAGATTTTAGAACATCAGAAATCTCTTAGACCATTGTTCTTTTGGGGGTTGTGTGGTTTTCTTTCTGCTAAGGGTTAAGATGTGCCCTCCTTTCTGCTCAGCACCCAAAGTGATTCCTCTCGTGGGCTGTGCATTGGGAGAGTCCGCGTTGTTGGGTTATTGCTGAAGCTGCAGCGTGGGGCCATATAGGATGTTAGTGGTCAGGAGTGATTGTCAACCTGACTTTGCTCCATTTCTCTCATCTTGCCTTGGAACTTACAATGTGGACTTGAGTGGTCGCCAAGCCACTTCCTCTGGTTCAGAATGGGGGTTGGGGACGCCCAGTCAGGGTTTTGTCTTTGGGCCCACGGCCTTCGCCTTTCACAGCCTTCCCCCTCCTTTCCTAGCGCCCCCTTCCTGGCCTCTGTCAGTGAAGACTGCTCGCTTGCCGTGCTGGACTCGGGCCTTTCTGAGTTGTAAGTGTCCCCGGAATCCTGTGAGCAGGATCAAAGAGGAGCGGCAGGCGGCTGGTTCCTTTTCTCTTGGAAAATGGTACCAGGTGATGGGAACAGGTGCACGGTTGAGTGTCTCCTTGTTCCTGGGACTGGCTCACCACCAGTTCTCTTCCTGGTGGAGGAGGTTGGTGGTGGTGGGTGGGATTTCTAAGTCTGACATCCTAACCCTGTCCCAGAGGGGACCAGTCTGCCCTTTTCATGTGAAGAGCGACAGCCATGAAACGCCACCTGCTCTGGGGTGAAAGGCACCTGGCGGGGGACCTGAATTGTAATTCCCTTTTGCCAGATCCTGGCCCATATCACTACCCCCGCTCTAGCTGTCATTTCTTCATCTGTGAAGAGGGCAGTGGACTGGATGACTGATGAAGTCCTCAGTGGACAGCTGCGCTGCCGTCCCGTGCAGGGCCATACTGCTGTCCCGTGCAGTGCTTGTAACACATCCAAGAATCTCCCTGGATGAGTTGGGTTTCCTTTCTTCTCCAAGTCTGCTTTTTGCTCTTGTCTCTCACCAGGCCCCATTTTTTCTTTTTTCCCTTCTAGGTTTAGAAGCCGAGCTCACAGAGACTTTGTCAGAGATGCTACTTGGTCCCCCCTCAACCACTCCCTCCTAACCACAGTGGGCTGGGACCATCAGGTCATCCATCACATGGTGCCCACGGAACCTCTGCCAGCTTCTGGACCTGCGAGTGTCACTGAGTAGCTTAGATTTAAGACAAAAAGCAAATCCCCCACGAGTGCCCACTCCCCTGGCCTCTCAGTTGGTGAAACAGCATGGCAGCCTCCCACGGTGTGTTGCTAGACCAGGCTGTGCAGTTAATAGGCATGGTCTCAGCTTGGGGAGGCTGGATTCTGGGGTCCTGTTGTCCTAGGGAAGAAAAACTTCTTGAAAATGGATAGGTACATGTTTCCGAGTGTCTGTGTATTACGTAGTTTTTGGTGGTGGGTGGGTAAAAAGTCCACCCCACATCTTTCCCAAGGCCTATTCCTCTGGCCCCCAAAAAAGTTTACCAAAGGATTTTACGCTTCTGTAGCTGTGCACGAGGAATTGGCTATGTCTGAGGTATGGAGGGTGGGCATCCCTGGATTGTTGGAAGCAGCTCATATACTACAGATAGGAGCAATTTTATATTTTTATAGAGCTTAATTCACTTCTATCATATGCAGAGCTTCCATTCACAAAAATCCAGCCCAGCTCACCTGGAGGCAGAGCCAGTTTTACGTGTCTCCTTGCCATTAAACTGAATCAGAAGTGTATTTTCTGGTTGAATAAAAACTGACTGGTGCCTGTGTATTGCCAGCACCCCACCCCCTCCCCCCCGCCTCCCTCTTGAGGTTGTATATATGAGATGAAATGTTTTTCTGCCATAGATGCCATCAAAGACAGTTTGGGGATGATGGCAAGCTGGAAGGCATTTTAGTTTACTTAAACTGACAACCGATGCAGACTTGGAGAGAAGTGTCTGATACCCTATCTGAAATAGCCTGGGCCCTAGCCTCTCCTGCCTCTGGGCCCCTTTGTCTGGATACAGGAAGACTGACTGTATTTTATGGACTCTGAAGATTTTAAAATGTAACATTTGAGAATAAGAAATACTGATTGGTGAAATAAAAAGTCCAGGCTTTGTTAGTCTGTCTTTAAAATGTGTGTGTTGAGTGTATTTAGACACAGTTCACTTAGGGAAGTCACCAGAGTCTCAGTCCTACACCCTCTTTTGTATGTGTAATTCCCCTGCCTCCACAGTGTAACTAGTTGGAACTTAAGGTTAATGTTTAGTTACTTGGTTGATGGACTTGGCTACCACTAGTTAGAAGACAGAGGTCAAATGTTGATTGTTCTGAAACTAAGTACAGTCAATTACATGTTTTTGGACTTGGCGAGTTCAGCTAAAATCATGAAACTGAGACAGGAAAATGTATAGAATATTTGTAAGTAAAGCTTCCATGCTTCCCCCTTACCCAGTGTGAGCTCTGCCCTCCCTTGAGTGAAAACACGTACTACTGGATTTGGGGTGAGGTGGAAACAAAGCCTCAAGTTTTTAACTATCACTTCTTAGGAGGTAATAGGGTGGTGGGGGAGTGTGATCATTTAAATTCTTACCAGAGGGAAAAACTTCAAGCTTACCATCACTTAGAAGACTGGTTTTGGACCTGGACTAGCATCTCCATCAGAAACAGGCAATTCTGGAATTATTCTTTGCTCCTTAGTCATGGAACCAGTACAATCTAGAGAGACTGAGGAGGGGTTAGCACTTGTTTTCAATCACAGCCACATAACACATAGTCTGTGACCCCAGTTATTTATCATCTGGCATAGGGTTTAACACAGTCCTCATCTTACTCTGAAAACTCCTTGTCTTGTGAGTTATCTGATCAATATATGTAATCATGAAAAGTCTGAAGGTCAGTAAAGGCTTTTTATCCTCAAACAACATCCTTTCACTTTGTGGTGGGAGCCAAACACCACTGGTGGCTGACATTCCCTCGGTGAAGGTAGATGGAGTTCGCCCTCCGCTGTGATACTGGCTGTACCTACACCTCGCCTCTGGCAGCACAGAGCCTAGAAGCATTAGAAACTCCAGTCTCAAATGGACATTTTCCGCTGCTCTTTAACAAGCAACTTATCTTTCACAGAAATCCTCCAACTAGAGTTAGAAACTGGCTGATGGTTGGGGCCCTTGAAGACCATTCTCTAATTCAGTTTGCTTAGCAGTTCGGCTTGGTGGACTGACCAAGGCGCCCCCCCCACCCCCCACAGAAAGGTGGCCAGCATCAGACCCGGCCAGTGGGGGCGTGGTACCTCATGACAAACCAGCCTCATTTGTCTTCTAGTTACTTTCTCATATTGTGAGAAACTAAAAGTATGTCTTATTATTTATCATTTTGGCCATCTTCAGTGTACCTACCATGCAGTAGCATTCATTTCCTTCACATTGTGCAACTGCCATGACCATCCATCAGCCCAAACTGAGACTCTGTGCCAGATAAACAATGACTCCCTCTTGCCTCAGCCCCTGATAGACGCCAATCCACTTTTTGTGTCTACAAATTTGATTATTGTAGGCTCTGCTTAGGAGTGGGTTCACACACACAGTGTTTGTCCTTTTGTGTCTGGCTTATCATTTGATTGTTTAAGGAGTTTCTTGTTCCTCCAAGCAGGGCAGTGTATCCTGGAACTTGATAGAAATGCAGAATGTTCAGCTCTACTGAATCAGAATTTCTGTTTTCCCAAGCTCCCCTGGTGACTCATGCCTGTTAAAGTGAAGACTTCACTTTGTAATAGATGGGGCTGTTTATTTCACTTTTAATCCAGTGTTCTAGGGCTTGAGCAGACACCCGCTCTCCGGTTTACTATGGAATGAGAAGGCAACAGTTAGAGTCATTCTGCAGCCAGGCCCTCTTACCCTCGGCACCATTATACTATTACATTATCAGCACTGGATAGGGGCTTCATCGCTGGGCAGGGCTATCTTGTATCTTGCAGGACGATTAGCAGCATCCATGGCTTCTGCCTACTAGGGCCAGTACCACCCCTTCCTCCATGTGAAAACCACAAATGTCTACGGACATTGGCAACTATCCCTGGGGTGGAGTTGGGGGTGCAAATTTTGCCTGATTCAGAACCCCTGGCTTAAAAGGAAAAGAAAGGGGTCCTTGTATTGATGTATAACTTTCTCCTAATGATCCCTCAATCAGTTGGGACTTTTTTGTTGTTACATATAAAGCTGCCAGAACATCCTCTCTTTGTGCACTGAGCAAATATAGATGAAGGCTAATATCTACAGATGAAATTGGTAGGTTATAGGATATGTGTATTTTGTATTGTGATGTTCTCAAATGAATTCTAAAAAGACTGAAGAAACAGTACCAAGTTTATGAATTCATTATAATAATCTTTTTAAAATCACCTCAATTTTTGACTTAAATATCTATGAAATTATGGGTTATAAAATTATATGATAATATACATTTTCCTAATATACATTAAGAGAACACAAGTATTAACATTTTAAAGTATGCTCAAATACAACCAAAAAATTTTATGCCAAATAATGGGAGACACTGTCCTAGTCTAGCCCCTTCATTTTAAAGTTGCAGTAAAGCTCTTTAAGTTTAGACTGATCTGTAATTAAAACTCTTTGGATTTTTATATTATTCAACCAATTGATTTTGTACAAGTCATAATTCTCCAATTTATCCACATCAGCATCATGAAAGATTTGGTCCATTGTTCAGCTAAAAACAAAGCCCCTCATGCCTGTGACTTGGCCTTCATCGAATTAAGGTCCATAAAACACAGTAGGGCTTTCTTCAGTTCTCCAATGGGACGACGTTTGTGAATTTTTTCCTTACTTCATGAGAACAGGCTGAGTACTAGAAGGAGTATTTGTAAGTATCCGGGTGGGAGTGTAAAAATAAAAAGCAATGGTTTTATTTTTTGACAGCAGGAATTCAAGGAGTGGGGTTGAGAGAAAACAGAGACATGCATGGGACACTGACTCTCAACACAGCCTCATTAAGCGGTTTGCTCTCCATCATCATCAGCTGTGCCCACACAGTCACAGTTGCCAGCTCTTTGGCATGGTGGTTCCTGGGTATCAATTGTCAGATCTTGGCATTCTTCTCAGCAACATCAGTCACTTTTACTGTTAGGTCTGAGAGCCAGCCGTGTCCACTGCAGCAGAACAGGCAGTGGGGGGACTGACCCAGGCAGATGGCGGAGGATCAGATTGGCAGGTAAATCGGGCTCTGTGGTGGGTAGTGCCCCTGGAGGAAGTCTGGGTAGGAGGATAACCACCTTGCAGAAAACGCCAGTGATGTGGAATCGGGGGTGGGGGGGTAAGGTGGCAATTGATGCAGTCAGAGGAGGCTCAGTAGTAGAGAGAGGCAGACTTTTCACATAAGAGGGCTTAGAAGACAGCAAGTAAGACCCCAGGAATCTGGCAAAACCAAGTCAGGACCCAGCCTTAGGAACCAACCGTGGTGCTGACAGAGAAATCAGAGCAGAGACCTAATAATGAGACCAGGGCCTCACTGGCTAGGAGTTGGGAAATGAGTAAATGAGTCAGAATTCTGAGCACGGTCATCAGAGCCAAACATCTTGCCAGGGCTAAGCTAACCAATGGTACAAGTTGTGGCCAAGCCTGTGAGGAGCCATTGCTCTTTTCCCCTGTCCCTTATTACCTTGACATCTGGTCAGTGCCTTGGTGCCGTGTGGGTTAGGGGAGCAGTGTGTCTCCCAGAGATGGAGACATACTGTGTATACCCAGAACATCTGATTTCTGGTCCTCCGCAATTGAGAGCCAGATTCTGACCTCTGGGAGTCCCCATGGTCTAAGATCCTCCATGGCAGAAAAAGAAATCTGACACATCATAAAAGCTTCTGGCTTACAGGCCTATTTTGTTCATCCTTCATCTTTGACAAAATTGGTTTCACGAGACATTCTCACCATCGGGCTACATGCTGGCCTGAACACGGTTGATTCAGACAAAATTTCAGATTTTTGTCTTGTCTTGAGAAATTGCAGAGCCTACCAAGACAAGGCCTATTTCACTGCAGGACAGTCATGAGGGGCTACTCAGCCCTCCACGTCTGTGCCGATCTCGGCTGTGTCCTGACCCAGAGACCTCAAGTTTGCTGATGTGCTTCATTGTACTGGAAGTGCTATTCTTCTACTAAAGTGGAGAGTGAGTCGCTTCACTGTCACTTCGCCTGTGGATGCTACCTGCCTGGTGGGTGTCAGCAATTGAGTTTGAGAACCTTGCTGTCCTGCACAACAACCAGCTCCTGTTTGTTATACACAAAACTTGCACTTTTTCATGCATTCTCTCTTGAATGCCTACCAACCCCTGTGGAGGTAAGTACCAGCTGTTATGACTATTTTACAAGTGCAAAAACTGACATTCAGGGTTCTGTGACCCCAAATTAGGGAATTTCTAATGGGAGGCACTGAGATTCAAAATTTGCCTGAACCCAAGGCTGCACTTTTAAATGCTATATTATATTGCTCCCCTAGCCAGTAATCTCAGCACCGAGAAGCACTGCTGCAATAGAGCGTTTCTTCCTCCTGCTCCCTTGTGGCACTGAATCCAGGGAGAGGGGCTGACACTGCTCTGCCCTCGCCATGCCCACGGGTGCACCCCCCGTGCTAGGGTCAGTGGGAACTGTTCCTTTGTTGGCTCGGAGAGTGATAGCCACTCAGTTAAAGAGGGAGGACAGCAGGTGCTGGGGTTACTGTGACTCTGGGCACCAGCCCATTTATCACAGTCTCTGGTTTTTGTGTGTGTGCAGCTGGGCCCATCAGTGCTGACTCAGGGGGAGACCTGGTGACCTCTTATAAAGAGGCTCCACCTCTAGCCTTGCATCTCCCGGACCATGGAGATGGGGAGGCTGTTGCTGTGGGTTGGTGAGTATGCCCGGGGCAGTCCCCACAATGTCCCTCAGCCCAGGAGGCTCAGACTTCCTAAGTTTGTCACCTCTCCAGTGCTGGAGAAACATCCTGGGGCCCGGGGTGGACAGGACATAACGAAGGGTCAGAGGGACTCAGGGAGGAGCAACGAGAACCATGGTTTTCAAACCTGGTTGCACATAGAACATTTTTATACCTGCCTGGCTTCCACCTTGGGGTGATTAAGTCAGAATTTCTGCCAGAGTGTAAGTACTTGGAAATTGGAAGCTAGGTTTGAGAAGCTAGGCCTGGAGCTTTTGCTGGAACTTACCAAAGTCGTTGCTGTCCCTGGACCAGCATGTGGGCACTTGCGGTGTTTATGTTAGAGTGGAAGGAGCTTAGGTAGATCTGGCTCTACTGGCTCAACTTAGAAACAAGTGGATAGTGGGATAGTGGGTGTCTCCAGATTTGCACCCACATCTGGCTGGGGTCTGCAGAATTGGTGGGGGAGCTTGCAAACTGGAGGGTGTTCCAAGAGGTCACTTGGGGCATACCTGTGACTCTGCATGCGATTCCTCTCTTCCTTTTCTGCAGGGCTGCTCCTTTTCCTGGAACAGCATGATGGTAAGGGACTTCTCTGCCTCTCGAGAGCCAGAAGCATTTCCGGCTGAAAAGGGTTTCACCACCCGGCCTGGCTCTGCCAACAGGATGCTTGGTCCAGGCTGTTCATCACCTGCGTGCCAGGATGCAGCGTTAGGGCTCCTCTGACCAGGACATCATAGGACATTCTTTTCTCCCTGAGACCTCAACACTGGGTGGGACCGGAACTCAGTGTAGAATTGGAGAGTGGGTTGGGGGTGTGTTGCAGTGGCCTGGCCCCTTGGGCTGTGTTCACACTGCTCTGTGGAAGCTGAGCTCCTCGCTGTGCTTGGTCTCTGCTGATTCCTGTGCTCTCTCCACCAGGAGCTGCCCACAAACTGGTGTGTTATTACAACAAATGGGCACATAGTCGATCCAGCCCAGCCTCTGTCTCACCCCGTGACCTGGACCCTTTTCTCTGCACACACCTGATATTTACCTTTGCCTCAATGAACAACAATCAGATCATTGCTATGGCTGCCTCGGACCAGAATGTTCTCTATTCAGAGTTCAACAAGCTCAAGGAGAGGTGTGTTTGTATTGGATGTGGGGGTCACATCTGCAGATTTTATAGACAGAAGGAAATTAAGCCTTTCTTCCCTTTCCTCGTCAACTCTCCTTGATCCCCCTGGTCCTTGCCTCCTCTCGGGAGCACCCCTGACTTGGAGCTCCTTGCTGTTAAACACCCCGAGTTCTTTCTTCCTCTTTGTCTTTGGGTTGCTATTGCTTCTGCCTGGATTGTCCTCTCTGCCCTGCTTGGCAGCCCTGACTTACCTTTTCAGCCTAGTGGTGAGGATGGCATGACCTAACACTGCTACCGTGTCTCAAATTAGCAATGCTAGTGTTTCCACTAACAGCACTTGCAAACCCCACACTGGGAGCTCCCACGGGAAGGGACAATGTCTCCCATATCTCTGTATATGGGGCCTAGGGCAGTGCCTGGCACAGATCAGGAGCTCCCCAAGTGCTTGCGTAGGCATTTCTTCCCAGGGCTCCTGTCCAGAGGGAAGTCTGGCACCGAGTCAATGGTTATATGCAGGCAGGGCAAGAAGCGCTCTGGAAGCAGGGAGCGAGTGTGTCTTGCTCATTGTTCCATCTCAAGCACCTAAATAGTCAATGGAACACAGCAAGTGCTTAATAAATGCTGAATATGAACATGAATAAGGAGAAACTTTTAGGAATGTCCTCCTTTTCATTGGAACACCACAGGGATGTGGGAGAGTTTGGTGGATTTTGGACAACCTGGGAGTTCCTGGGCTGTGATGAGTGAGGGTTGATGGGCCTTCCCTCCCACCCCCCCTCCACGCCGCTTCCCTTTCCTTCCCTCTACCCATCTTCCCACTTTCATCTCCCCCACTTTCCATTGCTCCCCAAATGAGTGAAGCAAAGGAGTGGTGAGCGCAGCCACCCCTGGGTGGGAAGCCCTCTCACCCACCCTCTCCCCGCACTGCAGGAACAGGAAGCTGAAGACACTGGTGTCCATCGGCGGGTGGGACTTCGGCACACCCAGGTGAGACTGGATTGGCACCACCCTCTCTCTGGGGCAGGGTGGGGGCGAAGGGAGAAGGAGCAGGTGGCTCGAAGTAGGGGCAGGCCAGGCGAGCCCACCAGCACAGCCATGCAAGAGTAAAGATGTGTGGACACTCCCTGAGTCCTGACCTGGACCTGGGTGCAAGGGTCCCTGGACCTTCCCTCCAAGACTGACGAGCAGAGACAGGGACCATCCAGCATGCCACGGGAAAGGGGTGTCAGGAAATGCGGGAGAAAATGGGCTGCTCACAATTGTCCCCTCATTAGAGGTACAGATTTACCCTCAGGGAGCAGAGGAGACTTGTGCAGGACAAGAGGAGGTACCCCAAACCTAACAGGGTCTGAATTTGCTTACTTTACAAACAGAGCCAGTGACCCCAGCCTCCAAGGGTTGTTTAGGGCCCCTCTAACCAGGACCTCACAGGACATTCTTTTCTCCCTGGGACCTTGCACTGGGTGGGACCGGACCTAGGTGTAGAATGGAGAGTGACGTGGGGGTGTGTTGCAGTGGCCTGGCCCCTTGGGCTGTGAGCACGTGTTTAGCTTGGTGCCTGGCACATCAGGATCCACACTCAGCACCTGCTCCTGTTGGCACAAGGCGACATGGAGGTACAGACCACCTGTCTGTTCCCCCTTTTCATGGCTGAGGCAGGTCAGAGGCCACCTGCCTTCTCGCTTGGACCATTGAGCTGCAGGAGAGGGAGGCCTGTGGCCTGGGCATGTGCAGATGCATCTTTGGCATCAAGGACAGCAGAGGGAGGGCTTGGGGTGTTTGGTGAGGACAAGGCTTTGCTTGTCCCTGTGGCCACAGTTTAACATTCCAGGTGTGTTAGATGCTTTGCACACACTTGGAAGCAGCTCACACAGTGGTGGTTTGTATTTCAGATTTGTAGAAAACAGAAAGTAGGAGTGAGAGGCATCAAGGAACACGCTGGTGTCCCTCAGAGATCACCTGCGAGGAGGTGGCCACCAGATGACGGCAGCCAGGCCCGCCTGACTCTAGCTGCTTAACTTTCTAATCACAACACAGGACTAGCCCAGAAGAACTTAGTGTCCAACCCCAATAAATCATAATTTTTCTAGTAGCATCTGCACTATAAAAGAAAAATCAAACTAAAATAGGAAAAAAAAAAAAAAAGCCCATGAAGGAAAGAGCCAAGAGAAAGGATCCCTAGACAGACCACAAGTTATCTTTCTGGAAATGCTGGTCTTGGAATTGAGTCCCTCCCCCCGACCCCCACCAGCAGAGAAAGAAAGTCAGTGCAAGGATAGAACAGTGGAACTGGGTACTTAGCTGTGAGGAAACAGCAGATAGAGGCAAAGTTTCTGACCAGCAGGCAGCTCAGGCTTTGCAGCAGAACACACTCCTGGGATCTCTGCCCCCAGGCCATGGGCCTGCTGTTCCTGTGCAGTCTGCCTGGGGCTGGACTCAGTTTTCAGCTCCTCTGTGCTGCCTGAATCCCCCATTCCTGGGAATTTTGCTCTAGTGCTTGGAGGGGTGTTTAAGAAGCTTGAAGCATTTCCAAGGCCTGCCTTCCTTTCTTCCAGCCTGGGCCTGGGAGAAGGGGCCAGTTCTGGAGAGAGCGTGCCTCACCTCAGCCTGGTCTCCCGGCAGGTTCACCACTATGCTGGCCACAAAAGCCAGCAGGAAAACATTTATTGATTCAGTGATACCCTTCCTGAGGACACACAGCTTTGACGGTCTGGACCTCTTCTTCATGTACCCGGGACAGAGAGGCAGCCCCGCGCAAGACCGGTGGAATTTCCTCTCCTTAATTGAAGTAAGGCCAGTCTGGCAGGTGTAGAATCCAGAGATGACTCTCCTTTTATCATACCTGGGCTTGTGGCATAGGAGGAGTGTCGAACAGCGAGGCAGGGGCCAGAGAACAGAACAAAATGTTCTTTTACTTCCAGCACCTAGAGGTGCTGGGCGAAAGAGCTGCTGAGCAGGGTCTGTGGTGCTTCCTTTTGTTTGTCTGCATCCAGGCCCACCCCAGGTCCCCCAGCCTGAGAGTTGCCTCTCTGCAGCTTCTGGGGCTTGCTCAGGCATCAGTCTGAACCCCGTGATCCTGAACCTGACTGCTACCCCACTTTCAAATCACTGGCCACACTGGCTCACATCTCTTCCCCCGACCTGTGGGCAGGGCCCACGTCTGACTCTCCTGCATCTCTCCAGACCACAGGGCACTGTACCTGAAGTTCTCCTGGCTAATACTTTCCATGATTCTGTTTTGTCTGGTTTTCTGCACTTGCCTTGTTCTTCCCAGGAGCTCCTGTTTGCCTTCCGGGAGGAGGTGTATCTCACCGGGCGCCCAAGGCTCCTGCTCTCAGCTGCTGTCTCTGGGAACCCACACATCATCCAAAAAGCTTATGATGTGCGCCTTCTCGGAATGTGAGTGGAGGCAGGACAGCAGGCTGAGACCCCCAGAGCTGCCAGGCCTAGTCTGCACTCTCCACGTGTGCCCTGGGGCAATGCTAGTTTGTGGGGGGAGAGGGGGCAGGCTGAGGATCACTTCATTACACCCGGGGCTCTCTTTAGGAGACCAGAGTGAGGTGATGTTGTACCAGCACTCACAACACCATCATCTTGGGCAGAGTCTTCTGCATGCCCTTTGTTGGGTCTCATGGGAGAGAACCTCATGGGCCTGACCTGGGCTGGGCCAGCGCTCAGCTGCAGACACACTGTGTGACAGGTGCCTGGTGTCACAGCAGATGAATTACCAGCTGCAGAAACAAAATTAGCAACGCCCACCCAGGCCCGGTTTTCAGAGCACAGGTTTCCATGCAAAAAACCACAAAGCTAGATAAGGAGTAGCTCATAACTCTGGACATGCCAGAGCTGGATGCATTTTCTCGAATCTCAGAGACCAAGGTTTTACAGAGGAGAAAACTGAGGGACAGAAGAGAGGATGGGGTCTCTGTGGGACCACACTGGGGAGAGTGGTTTCAATGTTGGAGGAAAGGGGAGCAACCCTGGGGCACAGGGCTCGCGAATGTCGGTCTTACAGTCAGGTGGGATGGAGGGAGTCCTACCTTTCCCCAACGGGACAACTTTAGGCATCTTAGCCAACCTGAGTTTCAATTTCTTCAGCTTTAAGATGTAGGTAGTTACAGTTCTTGGGGCTTTGGCAGGATTAAAATTGAATCGGATAATCCATAGAAACCTGCACACCTGCAGCCCGACTCAGCTGCACCTCCTCATTATGAGAGCTTTCTGGAAGAGCTTTCAGTGGTTCCTTGAATGGCCAAAAGACAGAGGCCCATTTCCTGGTGCAGGACGGAGCTGCTTTGCTCGGACAATTTCTGCAGCCCTCTGCCGGCACTGATGTCAGGTCTGCGGGCACTGGATTCTTCTCCGAGTCTTACCTGTTACTCTGGATCCCCCTGGGATGGTGTGGGTCCCTAACCACCTGTGGCAGCATCTTAAGTAGAGGGCACAGTCTGGGCAGGCCCCACAGGCAGAAAGGGCTGGGGGCGTGGTGAGCCCTGCACAGCTGCTAGTGAGCACTGTGAGACTATGACCTGAAATCCGACTGCCTGGTCTTCTCATGCCCTCCTCCTGCCCCCTACAGATTCCTGGATTTCATCAATGTCTTGTCTTATGACTTCCATGGAAGCTGGGAGAAGTTCACAGGACACAATAGCCCCCTGTTCTCTCTTTCTGAAGACCACAAATCTTCGGTAAGAGAAAGCTCCCTGGTGGCCCAAACATCAGCTCCTGAGTCCAGGTCAATAATTCATTGTGACAAGGAAGAGTTTGTGTTCTTTCTGCCTGCAGGCCTATGCCATGGAATACTGGCAAAATCTTGGTGCGCCCCCACAGAAGCTCATCATGGGGTTACCTGCCTATGGACGTACCTTTCTCCTCTTTGAATCCTCTGAGAATGGACTGCAGGCCAACGCTGTGGGACCAGGATCTCCAGGGACGTATACCAAGAAAGCTGGCTTCCTGGCTTATTATGAGGTGACAGGAACAGGACCTTTGTCTAGTCAGGGCTCCCCACTCCAGGTGGGGTGAGCGCAAGGACAGGGGCAAAGGCAAGGGCTAGTGCTAGAGTCAGGACAAAGAGGCAGTTTATCAGGGCAAGGGAAATCCACTATCTGGGTCATTTCCTTTCCCTTTAGGTGAAGTTATTTGAGGCTTTGGTAAGGGATGAGGAACTGGGGGGAGGGGTGAGCCTGATTGGAGGGGGAAAGGTATTGTACCTCTTTAAAGAACTGTAATGTTATACAAGTCAATTCCGATTTTACTATATGGCCTAATAAATGAATATTTGCAACATATGTAACATTTGCAAAAGCAAAAGAACAGTATAACCTTCTGTCCCCTAGCCTCACCCCCACCCCATCCCCCACATCCCCTGCACCCAGCTTCAATCATTAACTACTTATGGTCAACCTTGTTCCATCTTTGCTCCCTGATGCCCTCCAGTCCTACTACTAGATTATGTTGAAGCAATTCCAAGATATCCTCTACTACTGATCGTTTCTCCTGTACCCAGTTCTGCTCCCTTAAACCCTATCTCCACAAAGCTTGCTACCAAGTGGAGGAAGAGACATGGACCTAAGGGAAGGTAGAACTCAAGAGAAGACTGAAAGAGGCAGAGTGTAGCAATAGGGCTCTCAAAGGTCTAATGGAACAGATAGACACTGAGCAGAGCTTGAAACACGGGATGAATCCTCATGGGCCAGAATGACAAATGGGAAGGACCTCCCACGTAGATGACAGCAGGTACAAAGGCACAGGCATGGAGGGGTGCCGGATGGGGGCTGGAGATCTGCTCCAGGGAGTGGCAGAGGAGTTGATGTCGCTTCAGCCTCTGCTCTGTGCGGGATGGATGGAGAGGGTTTCTTGCTGACTCGGTGAAGCATGGTTATGAGCCATGGCTCAGTTGCCATGTTCTTAAGGGTCGTGATGGGTCAGAGACTTTGACAGACAGAAGCATTGAAGACAACAGGACATGTAGATGTTGGCTCCTGTAGCTCACCTTGAATGCTTCCATGTCTTTGCAGCTTATGGTTTCTGCACAATGCTTGGCACCCTGTTGACACTCAGATCGATTATACAACCTTGTTCTCCCTGCCTCTGAGACCTTTATATTTATTAGAGGTTCAAAGCTTGTTTGATTACATCCCAGATGGGCAGCATATGCTGATTTCTAAGGAGCAGAGGGGAGGTTTGTTTGTGAAAACTCTTTGAAATGATGCAGGTTTAGTCAAGGTTAATGGTTTGGTATTGGCATCATTACCAAATCTTGGTTTGATTTCTTAAGGACGCCACCTGCTCCAGTTTCTCCTTCTTTTCCGTCATGGTCAATAGAAGGAGGAAGTGTAATAGAAGGCATTTATTCCTAGACTACCTAGAAAGACCTAGAAAGGAGGTCTTAAGTGAGTGGCTTCCCCACATCCTCTTTAGTCAACCTGCTTCTCACTCCTGGTGAGGGATGCTTTGATTCCTTACTCCTGAGCAAGGAGCAGCATGTCTGCTGGTGCTTGTCTCCCTGGCACTTCACAGGACTAATCTGGGGACCCTCCTGGCAGGTCTGCTCCTTCATCCATGGAGCAACGAAACGGCGGATTAGTTATCAGTATGTTCCATATGCCTTCAAGGGGAAGGAGTGGGTTGGCTACGATGACGCCTTCAGCTTCAGTCACAAGGTGAGACTCGGTCCTTTCTTCTGCAACATGTATTGAATCATTCCCTTCTGGCGTCCATGAGGCCCTTGTCTGTATGTCTGTATAGTGTGTTTGTGTGTGTGTTTGCATGTGCATGCATGCGCTCAAGCATACGCTGTGTGGAGGACAAAAAGGTGAGGATGATTAGTTCAGATAAGCTTCATGCTCGAACCAAGCGGAGTTTCATAATCACTTCTAGCCCAACCCTCTCATTTTGTTTTTTTTTCTTTATTACTCATTTTATTTTAGAGCTATAAATCTTTAAAATACAAGAAGTAATTGACTCCTATCAATTTTTGGTAAGAAGAGAACATTTTATCAGATCAAACAAGAGCAATAAGTTAGGGAGCCAAATACTTCACTGTCATAAGCATTTGGGGGTCCTGTTTCTTGTCACTCCCAACATCTTAATCAGGGTCAAGCGTGATTCAATGAGTCTTAAGTCAAGAATAAGAAAATGACCCAGAAGGAATAAATAAAGACATTAGAGCGAATAAGTCAACTCAGGACTGCCTCTTGGCCATCTCTGATCTTTCCTTCCTCCCAAACTTTCTATCCCACAAGACACCTGTTGTGGCAAAAGCTCTGCATCTCCCTCTAGTGGAGACATTTTCATTAGGCCTAAGAGTTTGCAGGGGGTAGATATTTTCTCAAACTACTCAACACCCTATTGTTTCACGCCCAGAAAAATCTTGCATGGCCATCCCCCAGATCCCCTGGTGCACATCCCCTGAACTAATCTTCTGGCCACCTCATATACTATCTCCCTCAATTATGGGCATACAGACAACTTCTTATTTTGAAGACAAAGAATCTCAGTTTTGAGGGGAGAAATGATTCTCAGTTTACACAAGTTTTTGGTGATAATCTTTTGATGGTATCACATAGCTCAGGTCAGATAACTATGGATCAGACAGGTAAATACCGTGTGAGCTACTCATGCTAAGCGCTACATGAATATTCACATGAGGCAGGGCCGTGAAGTCAGGGAGGACTTCCTGAAAGAGGTGAGCAGGAGCAGGAGAAAACGACATGGGAAAAGGCTCAGTGGTACAGAAAGCTTGTTCAAAGCAGTTTTGAAGAAATTGTTAGGTGTAGCAGAGAAGTTTTGTAAAGTTTAAGAGAAGGCTAGAAAGTACAGGGCAGTTGCTGGAGGGATTGAATGCTGATGAAGGAGTTTAGCCTTCACCCTGTGGGCATTTGAAGGTAAAGCTAGGTTTCTAAGCAGGGCTATGACCTGTGAGTTTGAAGCCTTTAGGAGTGAACTGTTGTCAGTTCTATCCTTCATATCCTCGCACCTCCCTGTCCCCACCCCCCAAAGCAGTGTTGTACAAAGTAGAATCTGTCAGTCGATTATAATGAATTAAAGCAGAAACAGCATATTCAGTGGTTTCTGAACCTGCCTCTGCTTTGGAATCATCGAAGAGACTTGATAAATGTAAAATGTGGCTCTACCCCCAAACATTCAGCAGGTCTGGAAGCTGCTTTTAGGGTGTCATCATGTGATACTGCTCTCTCCCCTACTGTTGGCTGCTCTTTGGGGGAAGTTAGGTCAGAAAGCACAAGACACAGAGGCATTCACAGAGACTCACCGTGTCTCCTCTGCGCATTACACTGAGGGAGTCGGCCATGGGGAGAATGGTCGAGAGCAGGGTTTTCAGCTTCCAGGATTTTACTCTGTGGTTTGATAATGGAAGATACAACCAAAAACAGTCAGTGACTCCATGGAATGATCCAGCTGGATAAGACTAACATATGACCCATAGGGCAGGGGAGTGGGGACCGCCCCCTGTGAGCTGGGGGATGCCTGGGTCCAGCAGTGGAGGGTGGTCTGCAGAACTCGAGGGAGATGTGAGTCTAGTGTGAGCATGATGTAGGGATTTCATGGTAGACTCTTGGAGCTGAAAGAGAGATCATTTCTGGGAAGTAATTATGCCTGGATTTCTCAGTGTTCTTGCATCATCCGGGCATTCTGAGCAAGGGAACAGACAAGTTATAGTAATGATGATGACGACAGTGATAGCCTCACACTCTTTCCCAGAGCCATTTGCTCACATTCAAGGATTTGAAATGTCCCCTTCTCACAGAGGACTTAATTCTAGAGTGAAGCTCTCAGTCTCTCTGGAGGGATGGATGGCCAGATACACAAACTTCTCTACATAAGCTCAAATCTCATAATTTTGGGGTTCTTCTCTAGCATTGCAGGTCCCTACTTCACATGCAGGTGAATACCTGGCCCCTCATCACATCACCTTTTGGGTGACGGTGGCATGTCAACTCAAGGATCTATTCTGGCTGTTTGTTTTGTTGTGTGCCACCCGCCTGTTCTCTGATCCACAGATCTGGGGTGCACGTAGGTACGTGAGCACATGTAAAACTGGCAGGCTGACTTGGAAGCTTGGATGTAGGATGCAATTCAGATTCTTCTGGTTCAGAACACATTTGGTTTCTTCCTTTCTCTCATTTTACATTAGGGGACAGTTAGTCCCAGGAAGGAGTTAAGTGTCTTGGCCAAGTCATGTAGCCATTGGATACAATAGAGTCTGTCTTTTTCATCATGCTTGGTAGGTAGCAATGACAAGGAAAGAGTAGGACCTGGATTTGGGTCTAAACTCTGCCATTTAGTTATAAATGTTTAAAAATCATCCACAGAATTCTTTATTTTCTTACTTGTGAAAAGAATACACTGTTATGTGGTCTATATCTTGCCTATGGCAGCCCTGAGATAAGGTTTGTGGAAGGAATTTTTAAATATTAAAGCAATATCTGTAGTTTAGTATATTGATAATGGTTGGTAGCAGCCTGAGGGAATCCAGAGTGACCATGTTTAACATTTATGAACATTCACAAGGCACAAGGTATGGATGCAAATATTTTGCAGGTAGGAATTCTTTTTTAAAAGTTTTTCACTTTTCAAATTGTGGCAAAATATACATAACATAAAATTACCCTCTTAGCTATTTTTAAGCTTCAGGTCAGTAGCATAAATGCATTCATGTTGTTGAGTTCCTGTCACCATGTCCTGCCTATCACCACTGTCACCCCCCCACCGCCCCCCCGCCACCACTGTCCCTCCGCAGAAGTTTTTTATCTTCCAGATGGAAACTCCTCACCCATAACCCCTGCGCACCCTGGCCCCAAGCCAGCCCCTGGCAATCACCATTTGCTTTGAATCTCTATGAATCTGCCGTGTCTAAGAACCTCATCTGAGCAGATCACACAGTATTTGTGCTTTTGTGACTGGCTTATTCTACTCAGCACAAGTCCACGCTGTGGCACCTACCTGTAGGAATTCTTTTATCCTAAAGATGTTGGAAATGTCATTATCCCTTTCTTACAAATAAGGCAGTTGGGACACAGATGGTTTATGGAACTTTTTCAAGACCCTGTAGTTAATAATCAGTAGAGACCAGATTCAAATACAGGCTAAGCTTCTAATCACCAACTACAGTGTCTCATGAGGGTCCTTATGTTTTTGGGTCCCTGAACCCCCACTACAACTATCTGCAAGAGAGTCAGGACAAAAGGTTAACTGACAGATAACCTAACAGCAGGATACTGGCTGCCACTTTTACAGGCATCATTCATAAAGGAAAAGCATTTGGGGGGCGCCATGGTGTGGACATTGGACATGGATGATGTCAAGGGCACTTTTTGTGGCAGCGGCTCTTATCCCCTCGTGTCCAGGCTGCACCATCTCCTGGTGCAGGCCGGTAAGTAGCTCTGACCTGCAAGCTGGAATCAGAAGTTGCATGACCGGGGCTGGGTGGGTTCATATTCTTAGTGCTAAAGACTTTGGTGAAGCAAGATGACATGGAGGGAAGAGAACAAGCTTTGCTCTCAAGTCAGTCTGCTTTCTAATGCTGGTTTGATGCATGCTCCCTTTGACCCCCTTATCTCTAAAATGGGAATAATCCTCATATTCATGATATTATTATAAGAACCAAATGAAACATGAATGAAAACTGTTGGCTCAGAGTTAACACTCAATATTTGCTTGTCTATTTCTCTGTTTCCCACTCCTGCTTTCATGGGTAAAAGTCCAGAAAAGGAAATAAGTTTCTTTCACTATTTCTATAGTAGAGACTGCCCTGGAAGTTAGGAGATGAAAAACTTGGAGATGGTTTACAATTCTCATTTTATGGATAGGGAGATGGGGGTTCAGAGAGGTGAAAGTTACTTAGGGGTGGAGACAGGACTGTGGCCCACTTCTTTTTAACTTCTTTATAGGGCAGCCCTTCTTCGCGCCCTCCCCGCCCACCATGATGTTCTGCACTCCTACAGCAGGGGACATAGAAGGTGTCTCCTGGTAGATTCAAAAAGTAAGAAATCAGGCCTTCTGAGCAAGGTCTTGCAGACAGTGCGCTCAGAGAGCTCAAAGTGAGGTCTGAAGCCTGGAGCACAGTATGGCTCTTCCTTGGGTCATTGACTGGAAATACAGCAAATCCACTGAGGTCTGGGCACCTGGGATCACATTAACATGATGAGGCAGGAGACAGGGCTTTTATGCGGTAGGACTTTATCTACATCCTCAAGCAGGCGCATTATGAAAAACTCCAATTCTGGATTTTGGGAGCAGGTAGTACTTCAGCCTTGGAGTCCGTTTAGCCTGCCGGTAATGAATAGCCTGGGAAGGAATTGGTGGAAATCTTATCCTTTCTGACTGATTTTCTCTAGAGTCCACCTCAGTTTCTTCACTGACCTATTGGTCCTCACCCATGATGAATTCTTCAGGAACTGACTCTGGAAGGCCAACCATGACAACTGACTTGGCAAGCTTGATCCCGGGAGGAAAGGTTACGACCAGTAAGACCCATATGAAGTCTAAAAGCATGACAACAACCTCCGGAGGTGAAACTGTGACCCTTGAAAGTGATAATATGTCCTCTAGAGAGCAAACTACAGCTCCGGACGAGAATACCGAGACCCCTGGAGTGACCATGACCTCTGTGGACCAATACTCTGTTTCCCTGGATGACACTACACCCATTGCTGTGAGTACCACCCTCTAGAAGAAAGGCTGTTGCTCCTAAAAAGATGACTTTCCCCTCCAGAAAAAAGATAGTCCGCTCTGATGTTGCAGACGAAGACTCTCAGAGGAGGACGTTTTGACTTGTGAGGTGGATGCTGACCCCCATGAGATACTCTGGTCTTCAAATGGAAGCTGAAAAATGGGCTGCTCTCCTGTGGTCCTGTCATGTAGCCGCCAGGACACACCCCCTTGCTTTTGACAACCCCTTTGTGTCCCCATTGATGGAAACCATATCTGTCATCTTTCCTCAAGGGGGCAGAGAGGCCTTTCCACAGTCCTCTCTGGTGGAAGGAACTCAGACAGGTTTGCTGCGGGTCAGGAAGCTCAAGTCTGTGGTGGCAGAGACGGTGGGGGGGGAGCCTGTCTGTTCTTCTAAGTCCTATGACAGAAACTGCCTGTGTCCAGCCATTTAGAAACCGTTCATGAGGCAAAATAGGCCCCAAAGTCACCCTGAGCTAATCTCTTTCCTTCTGAATAAACTGGAAATGCAAGAATTTATCTGAGTGCTCTCAAGTTCTTTTCTCTAAATAATGGGTGAAGCCCAATTGTTCCTTTCAGGTCCACATTCCCCTATTGTACTTTCTGGAAGTTTGGGGCTAGCTCACGCTGATGTTTTCCAGCAGGGAGTATGTGTTTTGCTCTCTGCCATGAACCACTGCTCATGTCTCTGTGGGTCAGAGCCAGAATGTCTTCTAGAGAAGTTTTTCACAATCCTCAAGGGGGGTGGGGCTAGGAAAAGGAGAGGCTGAGTCTTCAGATTATACTCCCTGCTTGGTAAAATCTCAGTGGTCTGTCCCATAGCCCCTCAGCATTCTTTCTATCAGAAGTGGTTGGGAGGAAGGAGAAACAGTGTATTGTCATGTCCCCTGCACACGTCTCCTAGGTCTCCAGAGACACCAATTTTCATATCCTGCTCCCTGCAGTTTACCTGCAGAACAGTGCCTTGATCATAACCAACCTCATAAGTGAGCACAGACATGAGGCCAATTTTAAGTCTTCCTGTTCTAGGAAAAAATAATACTCAGAGTGTATTAATTAAAAAAACAATACTAACATTAATGGTACCTTTTCTTTTGGAAGTACACACTCCAAGTTTTTAGGACAAGGGTCTTAAACTAAAATGCCCACAGAACCAGGCTCCTCCCATAAGTGACTGAACCACGTGACAACAAATCTGTCCCAAAGGATTCTTATACTGTGTTCATTTTTTAAAATTCTTTTTTCTCCTTGTTCTAATTGGATATTCTCTGACATTGTATTTTTGAGCCCATTAATTCTCTCCGTTGCTTCTGTTTGTCTGCTATTGAGGCCCTGATTGTATTTTTTAATTCAGTTCTAGTGTTTCTTAGCTCTGTTACTTCTGAGGGCCCCTTACATTTTATCTTTATTCTTTTGCTATTATTTTCTATCTCCCATTTTTCTTTTGAGTTCCTTAAGTGTTGTTAGAACTGTTAACCTTTTTAAAAAAAGATTTACTTAGTTATGCATATAAGAACTGGGGTACAGGCCAGAGGTGCAAGTGGTGAGAGGACTCACCAGAGACAGAGTGGGGAACAGAACAGGCAGATTGACTGAAATACATTGCTGAGGGGAGCAGCAGGTGAGACAGGACAGGTCTGCTGCTCCATGGGGGTTGCTCCCTGGTGGGCCAGGGATCCAACTTGCACTGCAGAGGGTGCAGATAGCTTCACAGTGCTGCACTTAACCCCTTGCGCCACCAGAAAGGCCCAGAACTGTTAACCTTAAACTCATCTTCAGTCTACAGGATGGAGACTCTTCTCAGGGTTTTGGGTTTTTTTTGTTTTTTTTTTTTGTTATTTTGCTTTCATACTTATGTTCTTCTGCCTCCTCGTTATTAATGTTTATGGTATTAATAGGGACAAATTCCAGGCTGTTGTCTTTGCACCTGTTGAAGTGACCAGAGCACGGGCACCAGAACAGTAGGTATAAAGACCAGGGCATAGGGCATCACAGGGCCCCCTCCTAGAAACGGCAGGAATTTCAACTTCCTGTTGTGCTGTGGGTGCCAGAGTTGAGGGGTGATCCTCAGTGACCCCTTCCTCTAGGCCAGCTCCTCAGTCTTTTTGCTGCTTAGTGTCTCACGTCCGCTTCTACTCCAGGCTATTTTGAGCACTAGCTGCAGCTCTGGCAGGGATTATATTTGCTGTGGGGTCACAGGTTGCAAGTTCTCTTTTCTTTTCCAGCACTGAGTCTTATCCTGGAGTGTTTGCTTCTGTTACTAACAGGTGTTTGACCTCTAGTTTGAATAAACATTAGATAACATCTACAAATCATGAAAAAGTTTATGACACATTGTTTAAATTCTAAGATTATCAATAGAATAATATACTTATCAAACTTTTGGAAGACGAAAATGATGAAATAGACAGGTTAAGTTTCACAAAAAGAATAGGAAATAAAAAATGGTCAATATAAAATAATTCAAAAAGGAGAGAAAACAGGACATAGAACGGGCAAAAAGTAGGCGCCACTAGTTAGACTGAAACACAAATTTATCGGTAATTACTATAAACACATATGGATTAAAACCCCAACTAAAGACAGATATTGTCACACGTCAGAAAACTTATCCCCAGGGGGTATTTGCTAGATTTGAGGTTTAATGGGGCAGGAGATTGGGGGAGTTGGAATGGGAACTTTTGATGTGGATAGCTGAATTTCTTTCAGTCTTTTAGGATATAAGAGATGGTTTTGCATTTGTTCTCAAACACCATCCCAGGGAATTCACAATCAGAACCTGGGAAAATCAGAAGTAGATGAATATTTCAAAATCTGCACCTCAGCCTGACCCAGCTCAGTTCCTAAGTGGATTGGGAAGGGCTGGTCCTTATCCTACAGCAGGACAGAGAGGAGCCCTTGCGGGTGTTGGTGGAGGAGGAAGGTGAGGGGTCCGGTCCTAAATGAGTAAAAAGACTAGTGAACTGGCCACATGTTGTCTCTGACCAAGAGAGAGAACCATGGAGAAGGTGTTAGGAACTTCTGTCACTTCCTAATTTGAATTTTGGAGTCACAGAAAATGTTCTTTTATGTTTGTGTAGGTTTGGAATTTTGCCACGAGGTGGCAGCAGCACACAGGGTTACACTTTTTAATGTAGACAGGCAGGAAACTTGGATGATGTGAAAAGCAATTGAAATACCTTTCTATCAAAAAATCAAATAAAATAGAAATCTCCCTGTCATTGTTATCACTAACGTTGATATTCTCATGTGCCTTGAAGCAGAAAGAGTGTGAGTGTATGGTGCATAGAGAAGGGTTTGTGGGTGGACGGAGGTTAAGTCTAGCTTGACTTAAAACTCCAACTCGGCCTTTTATTAACTATGTGATCTTGAGGAAGTTAATTTAGCCTTGTAAAGCTCTAACTGGCATAAAGTTGGTGTTCAATAAGTGGGATTTGTTGTTATAAATGTGTCCTCTGTAACTCTTAAGTTTCCCTTTCAAAATATTTCTATAAAGGAACATTAACTCAAACATATGGAATTTCTTTGGTTTTGTGCATAGATTAAAGGCTCTAGGGTAGGTTCATGACAAAGTTCCAGTAGCTTTTCTATGCCACCTACAACATAACTTAGAGAAGTCATTTTGGTAACTGACCTCTTGCAGTAAACCTTATAAAAACGACAATCTAAAAAAAAAATGTATAAATGGTATAGAGATGGTATTAAGTATATCATTTGGCTGAATTAAAAAAAACTTTAATGGCTCCTTATTGCTTATGGTGTAAAGTCAGTACTGCTTAGCGTGGTGCATAGAGTCTACCTTACAATCTTGCCTATAGAGAAACCTAGGACTACAGTTCAGTGGTTCTACCCATGATGCTCTGGTGTGTTGTAATTAGCCATGAGCCATGTATATAATTTGGTGGAAAAGCTAAAATACTGAAGGTATTTTAGTAAAGACTGACTCAGCATAGTATTATAGACTCCAGAGTGTTCCTCTTAAAGCATTACTGTCCTTTCCATTTCAAATGGTTTCTTGAAGGAAATCTTCAGAACTGCCAGTAGCTTGATGGCAATTGTGCACAGCCAATGCAGGGTCTTTGGGTGGCCTTGGAAGATGAGGAATTACGTTGAGATCTGCTGTTTCAGCCACGTTGGTCACCATGTTCTCTGGACTCATCACACAACTTCACTCTTTTGTGCCATTGCTCAAGTGTTTCTTCTGCTCCCAGTGGCTTTCCAGACTCCTTGATTCTACATCTAGCATCCTGCAAAGATGTTTACTCCTCAGTGAAGTTTTTCCATTTTACTCCCACTCCCTGCTTGCTTTCAAAACACTGTCATCATCAGGGTGTGGTAACAACACCTGAGAGGAGAGACCCTGGACTTCTAAAACACAATGTGGAGGGCCTCCCTGGTGGTGCAAGGGGTTAAGCACTGGACTATGAAGCAATCCACAGCCTCTGCAGCACGAGTTTGATCCCCAGCCGGCCAGGGAGCTACCCACATTTAACAGCAGACCTCTCCTTGTTATAGGACAGGGAGAGGGGCAGCCCAAACCCCGCAAAACTGCCTATTGTCTATTCTAAATGGGTTCTGCCATCCGCTGCATCAACACAAAACATATGAGATTTTAATGGGAAGGAACTTTAATAAAAACTAGGAAACAATACAGGTAAGGCAAAGAGTCTAGTTTTTAAATGAAGCACCCAAAGTTACCCGTCCCCTCGTGGGTAAAAGTCCATCCATATGGGATCGGCCCAGAGCAAGGCCCCAAAGCCTGCCACAAGTCTAAAGCATCTTCCAGTGGGGACCCACAGAAAAGAGTCAGAAACAACCAAACAAGCCCAGAAGGAAAAGAGCAAAATCAACATCAAGATAAAAGCTGCCATTGTCACCTCCCCACGGGTCTCACCCACATCTGTGTCACCCAGTCCACGACCAAAAGACAAGCGCAGCTTCTTCACGTGTCTCTAGGCTCCATCCTGCCTCCTTCCTCAGTCTCTTCTGCAGCTTCTCCTCTTCCTGCTCAGCTCCACCCTCCCTTGGGTGGGGCAGGGAAACTCCCCCTTTCCTGGGGACCACCCTGTTACATCCTGACTCGCCTGCTGCTCCCCTCAGCAGTGTATTTCAGTCAGTCTGCCTGTTCTGTTCCCCACTCTGTCTCTGGTGGATTCTCTCACCCCCTGCATCTCTGGCCTGTACCCAGCCCTTGTATGCTTAAATTATCTTTAAAAATAAAAAAAAAAAATAAAACACAATGTTGTAAACCAGCATTACTCGATGAAAAAAAATATGGTCATTATCACTCTTTCATACAACAGACATTGGAATACCTAGAGAGATTGTTACCAATCAGGGTGAGGGGCACCCCAGAACTCCCAAACCTTCCTCCTCTAAATAGGTTCTGCCATCTGTTGCATCAAGATAAAACATACTCTAGTGCATAAGACCTTTAGTGGAAAGGAACTTTAATACAGTTAGTGTGCAATAAAGAGAAGAGAAAGAGTATAGTTAAAATTGCTTCCAATTAAACACCCCAAGTTACCCACCCCCTCATGGGTGAATGCCCAGCCAGACAGGGTTGGCCCAAAGCAGGACCACTGAAGTCCAAAAGCTATCCCCAAGTCTAAGGCACCTGCTGGCAGGGACCCACAGGACAGGGGCAGAAGGGGGCAGGCAAATCTGAAAGGAAAAGAGCAAAACCAAATCACGATAAAGGCTGCCATTATTAACCTCCCTGCGGTCTCCCACCTACGTCTGTTTCAAGTGTCTCCTGCCATGTTCCCCAAGTCCCTGATATAAGTCCAAGGCACAGAAGCCAGCTCAGCTTCTTCACATGTGTCTCTGTCCCACGTGCCTTGTCCAGTCTCCTTTCTCTGCATCTTTCTTCCTTCCTTGCCCAGTCTCCTCCCTACTCAGCTTTTCCTCCTCCCTCCTCAGCTCCACCTGTCCCTGGGAGGGGCAGGGAACCTGGAAGCTCTGCTTTCCCTGGGGACCACCCTGTTACAAGATCACACTGCCTCAGGACTTGATCGTGTCTCCATTCCCGCAGAGCTGCAGATGTTATCATGCAAATTAGTTTTCTTCCACTCCCAGAGCTGTGTGCAGACATGAGCGGAGAGTAGGCATTCAATAAATGTTACCTAATTTGTGAACTAAAAATATGACCGTAAAGAGCAAAGGGTGTCATTGACTATGGGAATCATACAATTAAGACTAGAGATGAGACTGACCGCAAGAGCAAGGAAAAGAAGTGGAGAGAAGACTCTGTAGCTCAAGAAATCGCCTACCCTACCCTTTGGAGCCAAAGAGCAAATTGTTCCATTGATCTGGCAGAAGTTGCTAGTGCCCATTTCCCAGCAGACACCAGCACCAGGATCCTTTGTCCCCAGGCATGGGACGTGCTTTTGGTAGCAAATCCTAATCTTTAGATTCCATCAGCAAAGCCATTAGTAGCTTTTAAAATTGACTACAAAATGGATATCAAAGTTCCCACCGCTTGCCCAAGGGAACAATAAACAGAATCTACGGATGTGTGAGGGCTTGGGCTGGTACAAAGATAGGAGAGTAGTGCCTAGGCAGGAAAAGTGCAAAGAGGCCAGAAAATATAAAAGAGAGGCCCAGCCTGGCTCTGGCGTCCCCGCCCGTGGGTCTGCAGCCTTGTCCTGTGTGTTGGTTGGGCACTTGAAAACCAGCACCATGAAGATCCTGGTGGTGGTCTTGGTTTGTCTGCACCTCTCAGAGGGTTTGCAAAGGTACGTGTTGGAATTGGGTTTCCTTATGATTTCCTGTCCCAAGGGGTCAGGACAAACTAGGGAAATACAAAGGCCCGCAGGACTCCTGAAGAGACAGTGAGATTGTCTTTTGGTGCCATGAGCTCAGCACAATCTGGGGGCCAGGACCTGAAATGAATGGTGTGTGTGTGTGTGTGTGTGTGTGCATGTAAAAGTGTGATTTGGAGTTTTGTTGGCTAAGAAGGAAACATGCACAATACCTGCTTCAAGTTTACAGGGGGACATTTGTTCTCTGGAAACAATACATAAATCAATTAAACAGAATATAACCTGATACATGCGGTATGTCTCCATGCTGGGAATGCTGGTGTGACAGCAGCGGTCAGACCTTGCTAAAATCCTGGAGGATTTCCTGCAAGAGTCCCTTCTTGGGGAGAGTACTTTAGACGCTTGAAGACGCCAGGTCACATGGTTGAAGGGATTTCATGAAGGGGGCAAGATAAGATGTAGCTTATTCCTTTCATGTACCCTCTTCTCTGCAGAGTCATTCTGCGGAAAGGCAAATCGATCCGCCAGACCATGGAGGAGCAGGGTGTGCTGGAGACATTCCTGAAGAGATACCCAAAGGGTGACCCGGCTGCCAAGTACCATTTCACTAATGAAGCTGTTGCTTACGAGCCCATCACCAACTACCTGGATGTGAGTGAAGAGGGAGGCCGTGCCCCTCACCCTGGACCCCTGGCTATTCTTATACACCCACTTAGAGCTCTCGTTGGCTCTGCTTTGGACTAGTTACTAAACCCAAGTCTCACCTTCCTATGGTTTCCTGTCCAAGGGGTCAGAAGGAAAGAAAGCATCTGAATAAGTTGTGCGCTGGTATTATTTAGCAATGTAGTAGTTCCCTCTCCCCTCTCCTTTCCTGTCATTACTGGCCCATCTCTCTGAAGTCCCACTGATATACCTAAGAGACTCATACTGAGAATAGTCATGTCAACTGAGAGATCCAAAGGATGAGCTGTCCATGAGCTACAGGGGAAACAAGGAAAACACAATCACAACTGCAAGGAAAATCTCCAGTACCTCCAAACATGACATAGCCCTCTTCCCTTGTGTAAAGTCACACTGGTGCCCAGAGCCAACTATTGGAATGTTCCTGAGGCTACATTGTCTGCTCAGGGCATCTGGACATACTGGTGTCCTCTGGATTGTCCTGAGAGGTATGTTATATAGCATGTCAGGCTAGAAGCCTCTTGAGGGTTCTCCTAAGATGTGTTCAATTCCCACATCTTGTAGATGGAGGAACTAGAGGCAGGAAAGTGACATGACTGTTCCAAATTCACTTAGAACCGAAACCACATCTTCTTGCTTTTCATGCTACTGCTCATCCTAGACTTCCTAGCACCCTTTGCTAGGATGTGACCAGGAGCGAGAAGAAGGGTGGTGGAAGTATCTAGCACTGGAAGAGAAGGGGAAAAACTACCTGTGAGTGTGTGTACTACATGGGAAAGGTGGATGGACACTGAAGAAAGAGGAAAAAGTATTTGCTTCTCCAGCTGCGGGTGTGGTGGGATAGGATGGCGATCCTTGGAGGTGTCACCTTATTGCAAAGGAGAAAACATATATAGAAGAGGGTATTGTCTTGCCAGACTAAGTCTTAGGTGGTCAAAGGCTGGCAATTAGAGACAAAGATTGGAATATTGAGTGGAGTTGGCTCCAGATGGGAAGAAGAACTTGTGGGAGAAGCCTCCTACTCCCTCAACAATGTAAACTGGCCAATATGTGACTTCCAGGGTATCATCTTCTTTCCTATCTTAGGACAAGGTTTAACTGCTTAATGAGGGGACACATCTTTCTTTGCAGAATTTCTACTTTGGGGAGATCAGCGTTGGGACACCACCACAGAATTTCCTGGTGCTCTTCGACACAGGTTCCTCCAACCTGTGGGTGCCCTCCACCTACTGCCAAAGCCAGGCCTGTGGTAAGTACCACCATCACCCCCCACCATGGTTGGAAACAGATGGCAGGCAGAACAAGGACCAAGTCCAGAGCTCCTGTGTATATTCACTGTCACAGCCTCCTAAAACTAAGAACATTTGGAAATCTTGCTCTCCATTTACATTCTGTAAGGACTGACAGTTTTGGAGAGAGACAGCAGAAAGAGCCTGGGACATCCGCCTCTTTCTACCTTATTCCTTTCCTTTGGCTCTCTCCCAAGGGCCTGAATTCCTGGCACATTGAGGTGGTCCATCCTTCAGAAAATGGCATGTTGGAAGGAGTTTGGCATTGTCTGTTATGCAAGAGGACAGACTTTTCTGGAGCTAACAGTTTGTCCACAGTACAGAGGACCTGAGGCTGAGATACCACACTAGCCTTGGTCTGATGACCCCAGGCCATTGAGGATGTTACCTCCAAGTATTTTGGAAAGCAGTGAACCACACGAATATTCAATTCTGTCTCTCTGCAGTCAAACACAACAGGTTCAACCCCAGCCAGTCTTCCACCTTCAGCTACAACGGACAAACCTACACACTGTCCTATGGGAGTGGCAGCCTGAATGTGGTCCTGGGATATGACACCGTTTCAGTGAGTGGTATTCTCTTAGCCTCTGAGGGTCTGTGGTTTGGCTCCTATTTTCTAAAGCCTTGAGCTGTCAGAGAAATCTGCGATTACTAGTTAGGTACAATTTTCCCAGATGCCCAGGGTTGGAAAGGATGCTAAAGGCCATTTAACTCAACCTTCTTCCCAAGACAGAAATTGCTTGCCCCACATTCCTGTCTGCAGAAAGTTCTTTTGTTGTGCTACAGTTGTGTCTTGTGATTTTGCTCTCTGCTTTTGACTCAGCTCTCTAGAACCACATAAAATAAATCTGCTTCTTCTTCTATACTATTTCACTTTGGATATTTGAAGACATGTATTTCACTATTTTCTTATTTCTTGAATCAAACACCTGCAGTTTCTCTACCGTTCTTGCACATGGATTATTCAGTATAAAAGCAGTCACTGTCCTTTTACCGTTCACAGGTGTGGACAGAAAACAATTGCTCCTGCTGCCCTCAAACTCACACTCTTTCTGCAGATACACAAGGTTGAGTGATGCGTCCACCTTTCACTTTCCAGACCCACCCCCATAATTATGCTCAACTTCCTCTCTCCAGAAAATGTTCTAGATTCCAGACCCTGGGCACGTAAGTTTAGGCAGGATTTGTCCACCTGAGTTGACAAGCTCTTCTGTCTGTTTGCCCCAGGTCCAGAACATCGTCATCCGTAACCAGGAGTTTGGCCTGAGTGAGAGTGAGCCCAGTAACCCCTTCCTCTACTCAAACTTTGATGGGATCCTGGGAATGGCCTACCCGAGGCTGGCATCAGGGAACTCCCCAACAGTCATGGAGGAGATGCTGCAGCAGGGCCAGCTCACTCAGCCCATCTTCAGCTTCTACTTCTCCCGGTAAGAGACCTTGATCTGGGAAGCAGTGAGGCCCTGTGGGGACTCGGGACACTCGCCATCAGACAGGACCAGGCTATAAAGTTTCCTGACATAATGATATAACTTGCTATACACAATCTCTACCTTTCTGAATATTTGTAATTACATTTTTGGGAAGAATTTTACTTCAAATGCACTGGAAGAATCTTTAAGGCTAGAAGCCACAGGATGACCCTTTTTTAAAAAATGGGCAATTTTCCCTCAACATTTGCTTAGTAAATCTGGAGTTGACTGTAACTAGATCTGCATAGCTGCAGAGGCAGAGCCATATAAGAAATTCCTAGTAAGGAGAACAATAATGAAATGATAATTTTGATTATAAACAACCCTTGCTTTATAAAGTGTTGCTGAGACTATGATTTCAAATGACATCTCAAAATTCCTATTAACTTCATTTGAGGAAACAGACTCAAATAATTGATGTCACTCAAAGTCACCAAGTAGTAGTTGTGAAGTCAAGACTCAAATTCAAAATCTGGATCACAAATCCAGTATTTTTTTACCCCACCTGGTATTGAAATTTCTTGGCAAACTTTACTCCTCCACCCTTATTTCTTAAACATATGGTCCTCAGGGTACTTGAAGTCCAAATGTCTTTAGTCTATGACTCATAGACTCAGGATGGGGAACACCAGAGCCCCAAAACCCTTTAACATGGTCTAATTACCAACCTTATGGAGAGAGGTGCCTCCATCAGACTGGAAATCTCCATAGAGTCCCCTTCCACGTGTTCTCAGAAGCATTTCCTCTTATCCTTTCTTTGTCCCAGAGAGGGTTGTTCTGGGATGTTTTTAGTTTTTTTCCTTTTCTTCAGGTTTCTGTTTTCCAATTCTAACTTCTCCCTTTTGGGCATAGTCTGTGTTTTCATTTCTTTGATGCTCTAAGTGTTTCTCTGAGAAGTGTCCTCTCCCTTGTGCCTGGAGCCAGGCAGAGTCTCAAAGCGCACTGGGGTTGGCACCCCGTCATTCTGTGGTATCTGTGTCTGAGGGAGGGAAAGGAGAAGGAGAGGAGAGAGAGGAGCTGCCTGAACATTTGTGCTGTGGGAACTCATATTCTCGACATTTCTCCCCAGTAATCCAACCTATCAGTATGGTGGAGAGCTCATCCTGGGAGGTGTGGATACCCAACTTTATTCTGGCCAGATTGTCTGGACTCCTGTCACCCAGGAACTCTACTGGCAGATTGGCATCGAGGAGTAAGTAGAGAGCTCACTTCCTGTGGGTCATGGACACGTCCAGGGTGTTCGTCCAGCTTGAATGTATTTCCTATTTCTGTCATGGCTGATTCCTTTCATCCACACCTCACAGATTTCTTAAAAAAATCACCAAACTCTGAGGCTGAGGTTGTCATGGAGCTCAGTGGGCTCTGGAGCCTGGCTCTGGACTGAGCCTTCCGAACTGGTGACTAAGCTTTGCTCTGCCAGCAGGTTGGTGGTTCCCAGAAAACATGAATCCGTGTTTTTGTTCTCGGAAGCTGCATTATTCCAATCTGCACAATCTCCACCTCTTCTGTTATCTGTTAAAGTGTAGCTGCCATTGGTGTTTTCCATGTGCCAGACACTACACTTTCACAATCACTTGTGTACAATTTCCACAACCACACTATAGGGAGGTCAACAGCATATTTCATCTGCAGATAAATCAAGACTCAGAGGTGGGGTAATTTATCCACAGTCACACAGTTTACATATTTCAAGATCTCACCACCAGCAGATCTGATCCCAAAGCTCTTAATCACGAATCAGTCACTTCCACACTTAAAGGCCCACAAGAATTCTCCATCACAATCGCATGAAGACAAAATCCCTTTGGTCTGGGAAGCAGGTGGTGATGTGTTCACATGTGTGGCAGAGGCGTTTGACTCTCTTGGTGTTGCTACCCCTCTGCAGGTTTGCCATCGGTTACCAGGCCACCGGCTGGTGCAACGGGGGTTGCCAGGCCATTGTGGACACCGGCACTTTCCTGCTGGCTGTTCCCCAGCAGTACTTGAACTCCTTCCTGCAGTCCACTGGAGCCCAGCAGGCCGAGAATGGTGACGTGAGTAACCAGAAGCCAAGCCCTGAATAGCCAGGCAGCCCCCACATAGGAGCCTGAATGCAATGAATTGGCGAGAGAAGAGGAGGGTCTGGGTGGGGACTTGAGTCCCTGGTGCATTTCAGGCCTGAGCCCTCCGTGCAATGAAGGGGAGGGGTGGGAGCTATACCAGCTCCATCTGGACTGTGAGGGGCTGAATGGTGGTCGGCACGTGTTGATATTGGTGATAGGTCCTCAGACCACATGTCACTGTGGTCTGGTCACTGTCATCTGCACTGACAAGGACAATGCATTTCTCCATTCCACTTGGGTTTCCTTCTAGGAATATACCTTTGGGTTTCATTCCATTCGCCTCTTGTCCCCACCTCTGCCCCGCTTTGTACACATATCTGCAGCTTGTGTCTCCCTGCATGCAAGGAGAGCCCAGAGTAAATTTTGGTTCTTCTCTCTCTCTCTCTCTCTCTCTCTCTCTCCTCCCCCCGACTCTCCCTCTGTGTATTTGTGAGAGACAGAAAGGAAGAGGGACAGATGAGTAAGTGCAGAGGACACACAGATGTGGGTGTGAGAGTGTATAAGGTGCGATTCTACAAGAGTAGTCTCACGCTATTTTTTCTGTAATGTCTGAGGTTAGAAATTGTGTTCTAGAATGAGCTTAAATCTATCACTATATTAATAAAACTGAAGTCTAAGAGCGGAGATGTGTTTAAGGAGAGAATTAAAGAAAACAAGGGGTCCTATGACCAGGAATCAGACCTTGCCTTCCATGCTCCAAAATAGCCTCTGCTGAAAGGACAAGAGGGAAATTTGTTACAGGAAAAAGAGGGAACTTTGGTCCTTTTTCTGGGTTCCCAAGCCTCTGATCACCTCATTTTGCCTCTTCTCTCCCAGTACGTGGTTAACTGCAACTCCATAGAGAGCATGCCCACCATCACCTTTGTCATCAGCGGGTCCCAGTTCCCTCTGCCTCCCTCTGTCTACGTCCTCAATGTAAGTGTCCACTCCTCAGCTCCCTGCCTATGGCTTGGAGGGGCCAAGCAGACACTCAGTGTCCCCATGCACACATGGACAGCTGTGGGAATCTCCAGTGGCGGGATTGAGGGTGAATGAGAGTCAGAGGCGTGTATCATGGAGTGCAGGGTAGTGGAGGTGGGGGTTCCTACGGGAAAGGTCTTGACCGTCTGCTGGTTATATCCTCATGTCCTTTGTCTCTTCAGAACAATGGCTACTGCAGGCTTGGGATTGAGGCCACTTACTTGCCCTCACCCAATGGACAGCCCCTGTGGATTCTGGGAGATGTCTTCCTCAGGGAGTACTACTCTGTGTACGACATGGCCAACAACAGGGTGGGGTTTGCCCCCTCTGCCTAGACTAATGTGGCCCCCCATCTGCAGGATTCTGGGACGACCCCAGTGTTTCTGTGGGTGGAAGGCAGCATTTTTGACAGGATCAACCCCTTATTTCCTGCAACTAATAAATCATGAATCTCCTTCCCTCTTTGTTTCTTTCTTTTTTTTCGTGTGTTCTACTTTTAGTTGTTTATTTAAAATTGAAACTTAGCAACAGTTTTATTTAGGAGATCTGTGGATTGATCCATGGGAGAGAAAGCAGGAGAGGAAGTTGCTGAGTGTGGAAGTTCACACAGATATTAAACACACAGTGCAGGAGGGGCTCTCTGGAAGTTGTCACCCGGCCCAGCACTCTCTCCTCCCAGTTTTTTCTTCTCATTCTTAGAAAAGAATGCCAATCATAGCAATCACTAATGTAAGAATGTTAAAGGGAGGTGGGGAGGCTTAGGAGCATTTCAAACAGATGTTCTCAAGGTGACTCTGTTCAGAAAACTTGTGTTTTGAGGGTAGCAGCACAGTTTTAATGAATTTGATATTATCTGCCATTTTCATAGTTCCCATTACTTCCTGGGGTACTCTAGCTGCTTCACCTATTCCCCGTATCTGCCTGGGCCTGAAACATTTGAGTTTAAATCCTAATCTTATATCATAGTGGAAGGAACTGAGGCATGAAAAAAGTGATCAAACATTCATGTTAAAATCAGGTCCAGGCTGAATGTAATAAATATTTCAATTGTGTTGCGAGCAATGAGGCTGCTGTATGCAAGCCATCAGCACACGCAGATAGAAATGAGGCATGGCTTCGATTTCTTAGGAATTTTCAACCAAGTAGAGCATTTTGCTTTTAAGCATTTCCCCTGTTTGAAGTAGGAACAGTAAGCTGAATTTTATTAACAATCATTTAGAGCAGTTTCTTTCAATGCAGTAATGTTGCCCCCAGGAAATTAAAAAAAAAAAAAAACAACCAACCAGTCTAACTCTGGTAACTTCAACATGTTTCAACCAATATAATTATAATGAAAGTTGTATTTAGAAAGAAAGTATGCAAAGCATTATTAATCCCCTTGTAGTGGAGGATGTGGGGGTATATATTTTCCTGCATCATTACATCAGTTCCCTGTACTAACACAGAATGGAGTTGATCTTAGTGAATGGTGTTGGCCCTAGGTCATTCCTCTTTTCTTTTTTATATTCCCAAAGATTTATTTTTATACAAGAGCTGGGGTACAGGCCAGAGGCGTGGGGGTGAGAGGATTCACCAGAGACAGAGCGGGGAACAGAACAGGCAGACTGACGAAATACACTGCCGAGGGGAGCAGCAGGCGAGACAGGAGAGGTCTGCTGCACCATGTGGGATTCTCACTGTCCAGCCGGGATCGAACCCACGCTGCTGAGGCTGCAGACAGCTTCACAGCATGGCACTCAGCCCGCTGCACCATCAGGGAGGCCACATTCCTCTTTTCTTTCATGGTATTTCTCTTAGAGATGAAATAGACGCTTTTTGCCCAAGGGAATAAGCTGCAGGTCCGCCCCAATTCACCTCTATCCCTTTCCTCTGCCCTATCAGCTACTGTTCCTGCCTCAGTACCACCTCTACATGCTCTGACTTTTGGCCTGCATTCCATGGAACAAAGATCTTGAGTCAGAGATATAATTTCTAGAAAGTTCTCAGTATAGTTACTGAGTTACAACCAGATCCCAGCTATCACGAGTCACCTGAGATTATCAGGATGTACTAATCCACTGGAACACACATGGTTGATAAAACCAGAGTTAGAAAATTTGATCTGCTCCTGGATTCTAGAAAGTAACACCCAGCAGAGATTCCCTCACAGCTTAAAGTGTGTTCTGCCTTGTGTATCAATGTGGAGTGGGGCGAGATTTATCACCAGTATATGAATATTCTCTGTCTCCTGCTAACAGCTCTGTCCCCACCACACTAAATAAAAATCCTGCCTGTTCAATTCTTCTCTCTTCTGTGATGGGGTGACTGGGGTAGGGCAGGGAGGAAGGAGAGACAGGCAGGGGAAGGAGAGCGAGAGAGAGATTTATGAACCATAGTGGTGGGCGGAAAGAAGAAGGAATTCAGAGAGAAAGAGCTGGAAGGTAACACAGAAGTGAGAAGGGATAGAAACGTTGGAGGGTGGAGGTGAAGACAGAAATTTGGGGTTTCTTGAGAGAGAAGTTCCAGAGCAGTATCTCTGCAAGGGAATGTAGGATGGAGAGTTTGAGAAATGTTGCTTATGCTTATTAATCAGAGCCTTTCAGCGTTCTTCAAGAGATGAAGGAGAGAGACTATGTTATTTTCCTCTTTAATACCCTGGTCTGGGCCTTCCCGGTGGCGCAGCAGTTGAACGCTGGGTTGCGAAGCTGCCCGCAGCCTCTGCAGCGCCAGTTCGATCCCCGGCTGCTCCCCGGCCACCAGAGGAGGGTCCCACAAGGTGCGCAGACCTCTCCTGCCGCCCGCTGCTCCCCTCAGCAGTGTACTTGGGTCCTTGTGCCTGCTCTGCTCCCTGCTCTGGCTCTGGTGAATTCTCTCGCTCTCCCGCGCTTCTGACTGTGCCCAGTGCTTGTATAAATAAATAATAAATCTTTAAAAAAAAATAAATAAAAAATAAATAAATACCCGGGTCTTAGAAGTCTTGCTGGTTACAAGTGCTCAGTAAATATCTCCCGTAACACCAAGTTAATAAGAATACATGTGAGATAAAATCTCTAACAGGGAATTCTGCCTGAGAGCGGCAGGAAAGAGGAAGGTATCACAGAGGAGTTGTTAGATTTGGGAAGCTGGTATGAGTCGGAGCTCTCCCAGTAGAGAAAGTGAGAAGAGACGTCTCATGCCAACGGATGGCCTCAGCGCAGCAGAGGCTGGAAAGAGTTGGTGTGATTATAGAGCAGCAGGAATTGGAAGCTGGCTGGTGGCTGGAACACACAGTCCCTGGAGGGAACAGCTGGCAGTGAGGCCACCCAGGTGGGCTGAGGTGAGCCGGGCAGAGCCTTGCTTCCACTCCGGGCTTCATCCAGCTTTCAAGGGACCCATGAGTCAGGACATGATCGGATGTTGGCTTTAGGAGGAGAGGTCTGCTGCTGGCGGGGCTGCTACTCGGTATCCTCAGGCCACCGGTTCCTGCACTTGCTCCATCCTTCACATGATTCCTGTAGACACAGCCCCGGAGAGGGGCTGACATGCACTCCTGGCGGCTTCTGCTCCAGAACCCTGGCTGAGTCCATAGCTCAGGATCGTGGCTGAGAGACCTAAACAGAGATGCAGGGCCCCTTTCTCTCTGACCTCTACACTCAGGATTTAGAGCCAGCCAAAGCAGCAAGCTCACAGCTTCTCCCTCTATTGATTGTACTCTTATTCTCTTTATCATCCCCAAATCACCCCACACCTTAAAAACTGATTCCCACTGTGCTAATGGAATGTTTCGACTGAGGCCTCCTGCTCTCTCACTGTAGAAGACAGGGAGGAAGGATATTATCTTCTATAAAAAGATTTGATGCACAATGAGCTCTCTAAAGCTGGCCACTGCAGACAGGGGCCCTACACCCTCAACCCTGGGAATGGCACAACTAGGGAGCTGGAAGCAGGCCCTGGGCTGGATGGTGGGTGCCGCTTCTGCAGCTCTTCCATTTTCATTTGATAAGGAAGCCCCTATTGGCTCAGACCTTATATAGAGAGCCTGGCCCCCAGGCTTGTGCTGGGACTGCAGCAGATATGGGGAGGATGCTACTTTGGGCTCCCCTCCAGCAAGGATCAGGGGACACCAATCTGCAATATGCAAAGACTCTGGACTTTCCCATGCTATTTCTCTCTTGTCGGCCCCTGCTTTGTCAGGCTGGTGGCTTTCTCTCCAGGGCTGAGTGAAGAGAGGCAGCCTCTGTGCTTTAGAAAGTGCTGCAGCAACAAAGATCTGCATTTCAAAGGCTTAGCAGGTGTGTCCCTGCAAGTCAGGTCTCCCCTGTATGTCGTTGTCTCCTTTGGATGGAATGGCTGTGCCCCAGAGCCACCCCTGCCAACATGCTCCATGTTTCTCTACTTCCCTTCCTCCCTCTCCTCCACCCCCGCCACCCCTGCATCAGTGAAGTGCCATTTAGTCCTAGGCCCTGAGTGCAAAGAGAGGCAAGAGGGGAGTGAGGAATACAGCCTCGAGCAAGTAGGAGGTGTCTGGGTTGAGACTGGGGGATTCAGATCAAGGTGGCTTCATATTTCTGTTCTACACACACCATCCACTCATCAGTATTTATTAAGAAGCTACCAAGGGGCAGCCATTGCATCTTTTTTTCCAACAAGCAAATCTAGATATTACTAGACAGCCCTTGACTTCTGTTCAATCCCTTGCACATTCATCGTCCAATTTTATGGAAGAAAAACATGGAGTCAGCCATGCTCACAGGGTTATTCCATCTCTGACGAGGGTCTGGGAGCCTCAGTCTGGGGTGGGGAATCTCTTGTCCGAGCAGTCACCCTGGGTCTGCGCCCTAGAGACAGGGCACCAAGCTGGGGCACCACCTCTGTAGTTTCCAGTCTGAATCCTGCTGCCTCTTTCTCCCTCTCTGCAATATCTACTTAATAGAGTCACTCTTTAATTTTTATTTTATTTTTTACATCATTTTTCATTTTTGCACAATGTACGCATTTTCTTCTTGGTTATAGTCCCCATACAACTCCCACCCACCCCGTTTTGATCCTACTCCCTCCTCCCCACCCTGTAGTGTGTCTCTGGTTTATAGTTGCTTGTTGATTTTGATTTTTACTTTATTATAATTAGTCTTTTCCTGGTCCCTTATTTAGGTTTTTTAAATTCCTGCTATGAGTGAGACCATCTGGTATTTTTCTTTTTCTTTCTGGAAACAACCCAAATGCCCAAAAATAGATGACTGGATCAAGAAGATGTGGTACATGTACACAATGGAATATTACTCAGCAATCAAAAAAGATAAACACATGCAATTTGCAGCAACATGGGTGGAGCTGGAAGGGATCATGCTCAGCAAAATAATCCAGAATAGAGTCATTCTTAAGAGACTCCCTGCTC